CATGTATATCTTATATAGTTGCCTATGTCACTAAAGATGAGAAAGAGATGTCACAGATGCTGAAACTTGCAGCTAGTGAAATGAGAAACTGATGTTAAGACCAGATTGAAACCTATTGGTTATGTCTTCTTAGGTAACCGTGAAATAAGTGCACAAGAAGCTGCATACCGTCTTCTAGGTATACCCCTCAAGCGATGTAATACCAAAGTCGTCTGGATTCCTACTGACTTTAAACAAGACAGAATAAGTATTCTAAAATCGCAAAATCTTCTAGACGACTTGGAAGATAATTCTACAGATGTCTATTGCAAAAGTATTGTTGACAAATATGCCATCAGACCTTTCAGTCCTATTTTAAGCAACACATGTCTTGCACAGTTTGCTTCAATTTATGATCGTGCTGCTAGCCAATCAAAACCATTCACAAATGATGAGTCTGAGAATGAGCAAGACCCTTCACTTCCCGAAACAGATGTCCATCAAGAGCTTCCAAACATTATATAACTCTTCAAGATACAGATGTCATTATGAAGAAAAGAACAAACCCAGCAGTACCAAGGTGGCATGTTGTATCTGAAAGTAAGAATCCAGAAAAATATTATCATCAACAACTGTTACTTTTTGTGCCATGGAGGAAAGAAGAAGAAGACCTGTTGAAAGATAATGCTCTTTATGAAGAGTCATGTAATGATATGTTGACTATCATGAATGAAAATAAGAACCATATAGCTGAATACGCAAGTCTTGTTTCTCAAGCAGTAGAGCAATTCCAGGAGAATGGACCTCCCGCACATGCATGGGATATGCTAGACCCAGAGGGTAATTTACAAAATATGGAGGATTCAGAAAATAGGCAAAACAGCAATGATGACAACGATGAAGATCAATCTATAAGGCCACAATTACATAAATCATCAATTACAAGTTCAGTGAGAAAACATGAAATATCAGACAATGAGCTCAAAGAAATTATATGTAGTTTGAACAATGAACAGATGCAATTATTTAGACATATATATGACTGGTGTATACAATACAAGATGGGATTGTCACCAAATCCTTTCCATATATTCTTGTCAGGGGGAGCAGAGACAGGAAAGAGTAGACTCATTAAGGCCATCTATCACCAAGTATCAAGAACATTGCAAAGATCTGGTCAAGATCCTGATCATCCTTGTATTAAGCTTACTGCTCCAACCGGATGTTCAGCTTTCAATATTGGTGGATCTACAATACATAGTGCATTGAAACTACCAGTAAAAGGAAGTTATTATAGTTTGCGAGGAAATCCATCAATGCTGGCAACGTTTCAATCAAAGTGTGAGAACTTGCTCATTCTTGTAATAGATGAAGTTTCTATGCTAGGCCGAAAAGCATTTGCACATGTTCACAAACGTCTCCAGGAAATAAAGAATGTTGAAGGAACTGATAATATATTTGGAGGTGTCAGTGTACTTGCTGTTGGTGATATGTTCCAAATTCCACCAGTACGAGAATGTCGAATATATGACACCTCTCCTAGTCGCAGTCTTGACGAAATGGGAGTCTTACTCTCTAACTTATGGACAAATAATTTCCAGTTCCATGAACTTAAAATTATAATGCGCCAAAAAGATGATTTACCATTTGCAGCCACGTTAAATAGATTACGACTGGCAGAACACACAGCTTGGGACATTGAAACATTGAAAACTAGAGTAGTGACTACCCTTCAGAAGCCCTGCATATATTTTCCATAAGAAGAAATGTAATGATCATAATGAACAAATGTTGCATAAATTAGACCATCAAACACACAGAACCATACAGTCATTTACCCACATACCACCTTCAGTCAATTCATTTGATGTCAATTCTAAAGTTTCAGATTTGCCACACACCCTTGAACTTGCACCACATGCTCGTGTCATGTTAATAAAAAACCTTGATGTCAATGATGGACTTGTAAATGGAGCAACAGGATTACTATTAGATTTAATTTATTTATAACCAGAATGCTAAACCTCCATCTTTGCCAAAATGTGTGATAGTTAGATTTGATGATCCATCCTGTGGATTGTTGACACAACAAGCCTCAACGATTTCACTTAACTATTATCCACAAGGTACACCAATTTACCCTATTGAAGTTCAAGAACATGTTGGAAGGAGTGAGACTTCACCACAAATTACAAGGATACAACTGCCACTTGTGCTTTGTTTTGCTTGTACAATTCATAAAATACAAGGTGCCACTTTGAAGAATGTTGTCATGTCATGTTCAAATATACGACAACTTCGAATGATGTATGTTGCTTGCAGTCGAGTGACCACACTTTCTGGACTTCATTTACTTGATTTTAAACCTAAGGCAATCAAAGCTTCAGCATCCATCAAAGAGGAAATGAGACGTTTGCGTACAGAAATGAAACTTCAAAACTTTTTATGATCAGCTAGAGAAGGATCCAACTTGCCTTCGTATTCTCCTGTTCAATATAAGATCAGTTCAAAACAAAGAGAACCACATCAATGCAGATCCTTATCTGGGTAGTGTAGATGTAATGATATTAACAGAAACTTGGAAAAGGAACAAAACTGATATAAATGTGCCACAATTTCACTACCAATATCATAGTGCCAGGACAGAAAACAGAGGTGGTGGGGTGTCAGTTCTTTCGCAGACACCAATGATTCCTGTACAAATGCAAGTATCTTCAGATGTATGTGATGCAATTGTTCTTCAATACAAAAGAGATAGTGCTAATATGAACATCATTGGTGTTTACAGGCCTCCATCTTGCACATTTGAGAAATTCATGAGATGGCTAACAAAAATCCTTGCAAGCATTAAGAGAGATATATCTACTGTAATAGCAGGTGATTTTAATATAAACATGCTTGAAACATCAGCTGCCTATAGAGGATTGCATGTATTCATGGATCATATTCACTTTAAACAGGTGATCAATACAGCGACCCATCAATAAGGAGGCCTGCTTGACCATTTCTGGATCAATTCTGGTGTCACTGTTTCTCAACAGATGCTTGCAAGATCACATTACAGTGATCATTTCCAAGTTTTTGCTGATATTCAATTGTAAACTGTTCTTTTTAAATTTTATTCCACAATTTTCCAGAAAGAAATAATTTGCTTCTTTGTGTTATATTTTTCTTATTTGAAGTAAAATGCATCCACCCTTTTCCAAAAAGTTGCAGCCTCTCATAAAATTTTCATTTTTAACATTTAATTAACATTCTTTAATGGTGGGTTATAAAATATTGAGGGCATAATTCCAAAAATATGTGACAAATAGCTATTGAGCAGCACCTTAAACATATTATAAACATTATTCAAATATCAACCCATATATCCAGAAGTCACCTAGTGGTCAACAATGAATTCACACCATGCAATCATATCACTATTATACTATGAAAGTAAGTTCAGGATACTTATCAGTTTAATTAAATTGTCAAATATAACACTTCAACCAAAAACATAGAATAAAATCACTCGCAGCACATAACAAGACTATGTAATAACTTAAAAAAGTGCTTCATATCAGCTTATCCATACAAATTTTTTACCACATGTTATTTACAGCGGGGCCCACAGAGATGGCTCCCATCTCAATGATATCTAATTTGACCTGTTGACACAATTTGTAATGCATTTTTGTTATTCAATGTTTACTTATTTTGTGTTATATCTCGTCTCACTATTTTTAATATGTACCTCCTTTGATAAGTATTTAGTATGACGATACATTTTCACTTCTGTTCACGAACTATGAACAACAAATTTATTCATTTTGAAATGATTGTAAGGGGTACATGTCAGACTGGCAGGTTTCATCTTACCTTGACCTCATTTTCATGGTTCATTAGTCATTGTTAATTTTTTGTGTTTTGGTCTGTTTTTCAAGTACTTTAAGCAATAGGTCAACTATAGTTGGTGTATTGAATGATTGTAATGTGAACATGTCTGTCTAGCTGGTGTCATCTGACCTTGACCTCATTTTAATGGTTCATTGGTCATTGTTAATTTTTTATGTTTTGGTCTGTTTTTTCAGGTACTGGAAGCAAAATGTCAACTATATTTGGTGTATGGAATGATTGTAAGGTGCACATGTCTGTCTAGCTGGTGTCATCTGACCTTGATCATTGGTCAAAGTTGAGTTTTGTATTTTAATCTGTTTTTCAAGGACTATAAGCAATAGGTCAACTATATTTTGTTCATGGAATGATTGTAAGGTGAACATGTCTGTTTAGCCGGTGTCATCTGACCTTGACCTCATTTTCAGGGTTCATTGGTCAATGTTAACTTTTTGTGTTTTGGTCTGTTTTTCAAATACTAATAGAAACATGTCAACTATATTTGGTGTATGGAATGATTGTAAGGTGTACATGTCTGTCTAGCCAGTATCATCTGACCTCGACCTCATTTCCTTGGTTCATTGGTTAACACTAATTTTTTGTGTACTGGTCTGTTTTACGATTACGATAAGCAATGATACAACCACATTTGATGTATGGAATAATTGTAAGGTGTACATATCTGTGTGATCGTTTTTATCTAACCTTGACCTTATTGTCATGGATCTTTAAAAATGTTAAGTTTATGTGATACTTCTAGTGAAACATTTATCTGTAAGACTTTCAACCCAAAATCAATGGTCAGTAAAACATGCGAGACATTTCAGCGTGTGCACTATTGTTAAATAGATTAGACCGTTGGTTTTCCTGTTTGAATTGTCTTGCACTAGTCATTTTGGGGCTCTTTATAGCTTGCTGTTCGGTGTGAACCAAGGCTCCGTGTTGAAGGCCGTACTTTGACCTATAATTGTTTACTTTTTACACATTGTGACTTGGATGGAGAGTTGTCTCATTGGCACTCATACCACATTTTCTTATTTCTATAAAATACAGTACTTCTCAGTAAAACAGCATAGCATTTGCATTTATGCATATATACATTTGATACATGAAATACATCGTTTTATGATATTTTTTTTAATCAGACAGAGTTCATCCATCGATTGCAATATTGCCCGGTGGATTATTTTACTACTACTCAGGTGAATGTTCAAACTCTGGCGTTCAAGAAAATATAAAGAATAATTTTGTAGACGTGATGAAAAGTCTTGATGGTACTGATGGATGGGATAATATTTGCCCAGATTACTGCACTGTGGAAGGGGTGACTGTTACATGCGGTCCTTCAAACGGTCGACGCCGACGGAGCATTTTCAAACGGTCAACAGATAATGAAATTACAGTTGGTTTTAAAGTTTCATCACAATGGGAGACAACTAAAACCCTATGGGGAAATGATGATACTCTACAAGAATTAGGCAAATTGATGAAAAGTGAAGTGTCAAAGGGAACATTTGACGTTAATGGAACGACAACTGGAAGTATGACTTTTGGTTGGATAGAATTCCCATGTGAAATTGGGCAAGAACCAGTCTATGAAGATGATGCTAGATGTGGTGAGTTAAAAATTGCAATCTTATGACATATGCAGCATATATATATATATATATGATGTAGGATGTCAACTTTTTGCACAAAGTTATTCGTTGGCACAAATAATTAAATAGATCTATTTTATGTTACTTGTTAATTGCATCTTGGTTCAACAAAACATACACCTATAAATCAATTTGGTGAGTTTTGTATTTGTGGTTATAGTATATACCAATTTAATATTTTTTGGTAAATACACGTGGGTAATGTCCAGATTGAAGTTTAATGGCAGGCTAATATTCTTTATCTGGCCAATACAAATATGTCATGACCGGTTTTTATTATCAAAGCATCAAATTATTTATAAGCTGTGATTGGCCATCTATGACACAATCGTTTGAATGCTATTTGAGATATCAGAGATTTTGAGATTTAAGAGGTTGAGATAACGAGAGTTGATTATGAGCAGAGAGACTACTGTTAAAGTCCAGATGGCCATATTTTTATACCCCAGTCAATAACTGGGGCTATGTTATTATGAATGCGTGATCTAAAAAAAAATACTGGTATCTAAAGTGTTTTGATAAGCACCCTTCATGGCCGATAATCATAAGGCATTTTATAATCCATGTATACAAATTTGGTAACAAAATGAAGTGTGAAGTAAAGAGACTTTCGTGTTCGAATCGCTGATAAACTATCCGATTGATAAAGAGAGTCGGAAGATACCAAAAGAATACTTAAACTGAAAAGTCGAAAGCAAATTGACAATGCCATGGCTAGAAAAGAGCTGCACCATGATTGCAAGATACTCCCGTCGCCATTTAGCTCGTCTGTATGCGTTAAAAAATTTATATGAACAACTGGAACTACTGTAAGCACTGCTCAAATAGACCCCTCAACACCAACACCAAATCTAAAACAATCCATGCACACACAGTGGAACCCATTGACACAAATCATGAATAATTTGGCACTATGAAGGCTACCTCAAGTTTAGCTAAGTTGTTGCCTCGGTTTTTGAACGAATAAAATTCTATAACCGTCCAACCAAAGTGTGAAAAATGGACAGATTTCAATGATTTTTAACGAATAAAGTTTCAGAACTCCGCAATGTCATATCAGAAATTTATAAAAAAAAAGCAAAAGGGAGCTTATTTTAATAGATATAAACAATCCCCAAAAGTTTCATGAAAACTGCTCAAAGCGTTTTTGAGTTCTTGTCCGAAAACTGGAAAATCGCCCCTTTTTATGAATAAAGTCGCTCACTCAAACTCGTTAAATCAGAAATTTTAAAAAGTCGAAACGGATCTTATGTCAATTTATATATATAAAAAATTCACCAAAGTTTCATGAAAATTGTTCAAAGCATTTTTATGTAATAGTCAGAAAACTGGAAAATCACCATTTTTTATGAATAAAATCCCATTCGTTCTGAAATTGAAAATATAAAATTTATAAAAATCGAAAGGAAGCTTACGTCAATAGAAATAAACAATTCACCAAAGTTTTACGGAAATTGGTGTAAGCGATTTTGAGTCAGTGTCCGAAGTGTTGTCGGCGGACGGACAGACAAACGGACGGACGGACATAGAGACGGACAACGGTATACCATACTACGGCACTTAACGAATGTAAAAAAACGAAAAACGACCAACGTAAGAAAAACAACACCTACAAATCACAACATACAAACTAAAGACTTAGCAACACGAACCTCACCAAAAACCAGGAGTGATCTCAGGTGCTCCAGAAGGGTAAGCAGACCCCCCCCCCCCCTACATGTGACACCCGTCGTATTGCTCATGTAAATTCAAACCCGATGATAATTCATATTGAAGGAAAAAAGGACGGGATTGTACTAACGACAATTGGACCATTTCCTTCGTTATCTGTGAAACAGATATTCCATAGCGTCAACCAACTCAAAAATACCTAATAAGCCTTTTTTTTATTTGAAACAAAACAGAAATTGATAAAGTAATTTAATTTTTCGCTTAAAATCAATGCGTTTTGTTCTGTTCATCTTTTTGGTAAAAAATCAACGATACACTTAGATTCTAGACAATCTTAATAAACATATAGTATACGATACCGTAATTTTAATCTAGTACGTTATATGCGCATTTCATCTACATAAGACTCGTCAGTGGCACTTGAATAAAAAGTTGGATAACCAAATCAATAACGAAAGGAAGTCAAAATAGTGCAACAAGTTTATGGTTATTGGATTTAAAACATTGGAATCATCTTTCAATCTTGCAAACTAGAACTAATTGTCATTACTTTTGGACGAAACCTTGTCATGATACTTTAGAATTCCGGTGGATGTGTAAAACAATGGTGTTAACGAGTTTAAAATGCTAATTAGAACACTGGGTAGACTCTATTATTTTCCGTTGTTGTAGAAACAAGTTTCACCGCCTATGTAATGGCACTACTATGCTTGTAAGATTTCAATTTGTGTACTGCCTAGGACTAGCTTTTTGTCTTAAAGTAATTAATTTATTGTTCATTACATATAAATATGAGTTTTCTTGTAAGCTTGGAAAATAACATTGTTGTCTTGAAGGTCTTTGAAAATTTGCAATCCTCATTGCCCATTTACTGATTCTTCTTTCAGTCGGATGTTCACCTGGCAAATATTTGCAAGACGGGAAATGTCATGAATGTGACAAGGGTAACTTTCAAGAGAAAGAATACCAAATAAACTGCACAAAATGCCCTACAGGAAAATCTACAGCAGATAATGGGTCAAAAAGTATAAATGACTGTAAAGGTAAGTGACTAACTCTCATATTTCACCTTTGTAGAAATATAACAATTTAGCGTGTATGATTTTAAAAAGAATGCAACACAACCTGTAAGTCATGCGAAGTGAAACTGCGTCCGATGCACATTAATGTGTTAAAACATACGTCATAAATGCTAGAATAAAAGTTACTGGAAGCAAAGAGAATGATTTAATTGGATGATGGGCGCGGGTTTAAATACTTTATTGGGCCTAAAAAGAAAGAGTGGCAGATATGATAAACTTTGTCGGATGAAATTACAGTCATGATCTATAAAATTTTCATTTGTCTTCTTAGAATTTAAAGAGTCCGTTATAATTTATCCAGAGTATTGATTGATTTATGCTGTCTTATCAAACATAACTTGATAAAATGCTTCATTATGGCAAGGTGAATAAGCAATTAATCAAAAAGAGGAACACCAGACAAGCGTTCAGATAACATGACTAAGTGATACTAATTAAAAGGTTGAAAACTTGCAAGTTTAAAGTAAAAATATAATAAATTATCATTGCTTTAAAATATTATACCTTGGACCAAACTCCGAACAGTGATCGTTTAACTATTTTCCTTTACTCCATCAATCACTGCCACCGGCTTTCGAAATTCGTTCCAAAATCAAATAAAATTTCCTCAGAAACATTAGTTACAGGCTTGAAAAACGTCAATTTTATAATGTCTTTCTAAAATTTAAACAACTTTTCCTAGATATAAAAAATTAGCATTAAATTTACGCACACCGACAGGACTTGTTTTTGTGTGTGTATCCTTATCGACGTTATCCTCCCCAATCCTTTCGAAAGTAAACATGGATGAAAAACTGAATCAGATATAGATAAAATGTATGTTAGGCGTAAGCCCAAAGGAAAAACAAGCCCAAACGCTGCAACATTTACTTGACCAGGAACAAATGATTTAAATTTGAGTTTGCGGTTGTCAACGGAGAAAGCTTGGTGTACCAAATTCTGTAAGACTTTCCTTTTATCACACAACATTATGAACAAACATGGAGATCTTTTACATTACTTCAGTAAATTGAGCCTAAATAATTTTTTGACGTTCCAAAAAAGCGGCCCATTACCTTGATCAGAATTATAAAGTGAGGGATCATATTTCTCTTATAGTTATAAACTATAAAGTGAGGGACTGTCCCTCAGACAAATTGTTATTGTCCAGTGGTAGAAAAGAAAAAAGAAAAACTTAGCATTTTTAACTTAAAAGGGGTGGGGGAATTCCTTACATTTAGAATAACCTTTCTTAAAGAGGGGTCCTCTTATTTTCAATAATAAAGGAGATTGATGTCCATGAATACAATGCCAGATAGAAGTATGGTTCTTTGGGAAAAGTTTTTGCAAATAATATAAATACGTGCCCTTTTGTACTTTCAATATGACAAGACATTTCAGTATGAATTAAACCTTGAACAAGTATGGACACAAAATTCAAGCTTGATAATTTGGATTATGATTATATATTTGACACAACATAGGTTTCTGACACAGAATGAATGTGGCCTAAGAACGTGAAATTTTGAAACTTGATATTTATCTAATATGGTCCAATATCCAAAATATAAATACATGGTGAGATTCAGCATATCAAAGAACCAGAAGAATTCAATTTTTGATGAAAACCAACAAAGTTTAATTTCGGAGCCTGAAGACTTCAATGTGGACCAATTTGATAATGGGGCCCAAAATCCAAAATCTAATTACATGGTTAGATTCAGCATAACAAAAAAAACCCCAAATATTCAATGTTTTTTTTTTAAATCAAACAAAGTTTAATTTTGGACCAACTGAACCATATTGTAGGCCAATTTGAAAATCGGTCTTAAATTAAAATTCAGAATACACATTAAGATTTGGCATATCAGAACCCAAATTATTCAATTTTCGATGAAATCAAACCAAGATTATTTTTGGACCCTTTGAACCTCAATGTGGACCAATTTTTAAAATGGGCCCAATATCCAAAATCTGAATACACAGGCTAAGAAATTTTCAAAACACTTATTATTCAAATTCCAGACTGACTTAAACCCCATTGCAATTGGTCAAGAAATAAGCAATTAATCATGTTATAAAAGGTACATATATTAGAAAAGTATTGTTTTTGTCACCTAATTTCTAAATACAAATGTAGATAGGACAATAACCCCCAAAATCAATCTCAACCTTCCTTTTGTGGTATGGAACCTTGTGGTACATTTTCATACATCTCCATACCATTATACAGCCACAAATTTCTTGCAATTGTATAAAACAAGAGTGCACACGCTGAAATGTCTCGCCTTCTTTACTAACCATTGATTTTATGTTGATAGTCCTAAATATCAAGCTTAACTACAAGTATCACACAAACTTAACTTGATCCAAGAAAATGAGGTCAAGGTCAGATAAACCAAACGAGAAAAACATGTACACCTTACAATAATTCAATACACCAAATACAGTTGACCTATTGCTTATAGTTTCTAAGAAACAGACTTAACCAAGAAAACTAAACATTGGCCAATGAACCATGAAAATGAGGTCAAGGTCAGATGAACCATGCCAGACAGACATGTACACCTTACAATCAATAAATGCATTAAATATAGTTGAACTATTGCTTATAGTATCTAAGAAACAAACTAAACCATGAAAACTTAACATTAACCGATGAACCATGAAAATGAGGTCAAGGTCAGATGATACCTGCCAGACAGACATATACACCTTACAATCCTTACATACAACAAATATAGTTGACCTATTGCTTATAGTTTTAAGAAAAACAGACCACAACACAAAACTTAACACTGAGCAATGAACCGTGAAAATGAGGTCAAGGTAAAAAAAAACCTGCGAGACTGACATGTACATCATAAAATATTTCCATACACCATAGATATAAGAAGATGTGGTATGAGTGCCAATGAGACAACTCTCCATCCAAGTCAAAATTTATAAAAGTAAACCATTATAGGTCACAGTACGGTCTTCAACATATATAGTTGACCTATTGCATATATATAGTATTAGAAAAAAAGACCAAAAACTAAAAAAAACTTAACTTTGACCACTGAACCATGAAAATGAGGTAAAGGTCAGATGACACTTGCCAGTTGGACATGTACATCTTTTAATTATTCCATACACCAAATATAAAAGACCTATTGCTTATAGTATCTGATACATAGACTTGACCACGAAAACTTAACCTTGTTCACTGATCCATTAAATAAGGTCGAAGTCAAATGAAACCTGTCTGAGGGGCATGAGGACCTTGGAAGGTACGCACATACCAAATATAGTTATCCGATTACTCATAATAAGAAAGAAATTGACATTACAAAAAATCTTAACTTTTTTTTTAAGTAGTCACTGAACAATGAAAATGAGGTCAAGGACAATGGACATATGACAGACGGAAACTTCGTAACATTAGGCATCTATATACAAAGTATGAAGCATACAGGTCTTCCACCTTCTAAAATATAAAGCTTTTAAGAAGTTAGCTAACGCCGCCGCTGGATCACTATCCCTATGTTGAGTTTCTGCGACAATGGAAAACTGCAGAAATTATATATTTTTCATCGTATTCATGAAAACGGTACATATAATGATGCTATTGTGACGTCATCAAATAAAAAAATCTTATTTTTTTTTCATTTATATTTCTTATATCTATGCATTTCCAAACATTATGTGCCTTTTTGGAATAGTTGTCAAACATTTTATTTTCTTGAACCAAAAACGGGCCTTAATGCCCCTTCTCCTTTGCTTTAAACAATTTCTCATGAAATTTTAACGCAAAATTAGGATTGAGTTCCCTTTTGATTTAGATTTTTTTGGGTCTTTTATAATTTTTCACATCCCACATTAAACTTGAGTTTGCTTAGAGTAATTTCCTCAAGCTGAATGATGTTAATTGTTGGGAACTTGGGAATGATAAACATATAATCACCTTTTCCATTTTTCCATTTCCAATAGATTAAAATCATAACAGATACCCTAATAATGATGGAGGCCAAATTTGGTTTAATATTGGCCCCGTAATCTAATTAAAAGCAGAAGAATTTTGTAAAGTTTACAGATATTACCAATAAATTCATTGAAATTGTAGAAAATGGCTTTATTAGGACAATGACAAATCAGCTACAAAGTAACAACACTTGGTCAGCACCTGAAAAGAAACAGTCATACCATGTTTGGTTTCAATCCATTAAGCGGTTTTCTAGAAGAAGACATTTGTATATATTTCTCATAGGGTCCTTTGTTAAACTAAGTCCCCTGTTAGCAGCCGTCTCGATTGATGGATATGCTACAAAGTAATAACACTTGGTAAGCACATCAAAAGGAACATTCATGCCATGTTTGGTTTCATTCCATTTAGTGGTTCTTCAAAAGAAGACTTTTTTATGTATTTCACAAAGGTTCCTTTGTTAAACTGAGTTCCCCGCTGGCAGCCATCTTGGGTGATTGATTGGCTACAATGTAACAACACTTGGCCAGCACCTCGTTAGAAACATTCACGCCATGTTTGGTAACATTCCATTCAGTGGTTCTCTAAAAGAAGACATTTGTATGTATTGTCCATAGGGTCCTATGTTAAACGAAGTCCCCCGCTGGCGGCCATCTTGGATGATGGATCGCCTATAAAGTTACAACACTTGGTCAGCACCTCATTAGAACATTCATGCCATGTTTTATTTCATTCCATTTAGTGGTTCTCTAAAAGAAGACATTAGTTTTCTCGTTTGAATTGTTTAACATTTGTGATATCGGGGCCTTTTATAGCTGACTATGCGGTATGGGCTTTGCTCATTGTTGAAGGTCGTACAGTGACCTATAGCTGTTAATTTCTGTGTTGTTTGGTCTCTAGTGAAGAGTTGTCTCATTGGCAATCATACCACCTCTTCTTTTTTATATTTATTCTCGGGTTCTATGTTAAACTAAGTGCACCTCTGGCGGCCATCTTGGATGATGGATCGGCTTCAAAGTAGCAACACTTGGTCAGCACCTCATAAGAAACAAAAATGTCATGGGTCCTATGTAAACTGAAGTCCCACGCTGACGGCCATCTTGGATGACGGATCAGCTACAAAGTTACAACACTTGGTCAGCACCTCATATTCATGCCATGTTTGGTTTCATTCTATTCAGTGGTTCTCTAGAAGAAGTTCAAAATGTAAAAAGTTAACGACGACGGATGGAGACTATGGACGACGGACGCCAAGATGACTTTTTGTGGACGTCGCATGGCTTTTCCAGTGAATACTTCATCTGTTGATATATACTGTGAAAGTTTTGTGCATATTTACATATATAATTAGCTATGTTGAAAGACGTGCATAATTTCCAATCAAAAAAATTCAAATTGTTTAGTCTCTAAAAAACTTGTAAGATTTCCGCTGCTTTTTTTGTTAAATAGGTGCAATTTGGGTACTCGGTGCAATCTGGGTACTGTGACGTTAATCAAGGCATAATGCACAACAATTTTAGTGTGTACATGCTTTACCAACTTACCATATATTATTTTTGCAAGCTATAATAATGATTGTTTTATTTCTTTAATCCATTAAATTATACCTGAAGTGAGTTAAAAATTTGAGAAGTTCAGAGATTGGTATGTAGATGAAAGGAGTCTTAATAATACTAGTTGGAAACCCTAACTCAAGTTTGCTAAAATAACCTGTTTGAGGCCTTGTGTCAATTTGACATTATTTGGACCCTTTCCCCTTTATTAAAAAAATCCAAAGTTTATCCCTGGAGTCCAATTTTGTCTTCTATAACATATCTTTAATTCCATATGGAGCAGCTTCTCGGGAAAATTTAACCGTCCTGACATCATTTTTTCTATATATAAATCTGATATTATTCATACGATGGAGAAACCACTTTTGCCAGTTTTGGCGTCGGACTTGAGCCTGATTGTGAAAAGTTGAGGTAAATTGTGAAGACTGTGAGTGGTCTGCAAACGAGTTTTATTTACTGATGATTGGGTGCCAGTACATAAAAGGAATGAATAATTATTATCAACAGCTAAAGCCCAACATGTTCTTTCAACTGCAAATACGTGCAGACGTCAACCTGCAAAAATTATTTTAGGTTTCTCCAGCGACGCCGACGAAGAATTTTTTGCAAAGTCGATCGAGTTTTCAAGCCAGAAATGGTTTCTTCGACGTGACGATACAGAAATTTCAAAAACTTTTATTTTGGGATATTATTTGGATTGAGTGTTTTTCCTTACAATAATTATTTTTGTTCATATATACTGGTAACGTTGGTAAAAAATATCCTCAATCAGCAATGTTCATCCATATTTGCTTCAGTAGCAACGAAAGGTCAATCCCGGTCAAACAGCTTGATAATCGGGTTACGTAAACAGCCGAAGGCAGTGATTAGTGTAGAGTAGTATGCGGATCGGAGCTGGAACTGCCGGGGAGTTTGACCTCGGACTTAAAGATAATTGGTGTAGGTGTAACAGTGAATCTTTTCCGGGATTATATTCTTTCCTTTTGGAAGAAAACATAAGTGTGAAAAAGGAATACACTAGTGCATTTCGTGTTAAGGAAGTTATGCACGATGAAATGAAAGTATTATCACAAGGGAACACATTTCATTTTTCTAAGAAAATCTACAGCTTTGTTCATTTGGGTACGTTTCAGATATGTGTCCTCCTGGAACTTATTCTAGCACAGGTGTTGAACCATGTTCTCCTTGCCCTCTTGGACAATACCAGTCTATGTATGAATCTACATCGTGTTTGTTATGTGATCCATTAGAGTTTACTAATTCAACAGGATCTAAAAGTAAAGCGGAATGTCAAGGTGTGTATAAATGATGTGTTATACGCTATATTAAAAATATGTTATAAAAATAAGAACATACAATATGATGTATAAGTTTTACTGCCAAAACTGTGGTTCCTATGCTGTGTACATTAAATGAATTCAATCGAATACATATACCTTTTGAGTTATATGTGAACTTGGTTGAGGACGTTTTAGCGCAGTTCTGACATTGTATCTCAGGAAAAATAACAGTCTAATGCACATGTGTTTTTAAACATTTTTATAAAAACAAACATAATAGGAATTAACACTTTTATATACCTGATATCGATTTCCACATTAAGCGGGTGCATTATAAATATTTCCTATCAGTTGCTAATGGCAGACGCGTCTTGTCAAACAAAAGGTAACATAAACGAATTTGATAAATTATATATTGTTTAAATAGAAACAGTTTTTAGACAAATCTTAACCCGAGATTAAACGTACCAGTTCTAAAGGTAAAAGTACACATAAAGACATGTCTACCCAAACATATCTAACAGGACACTTTATTCTGACTTGGAACCGACAAGCCTTTGCTCTTATTCCTGAATGTAGTGCATAGTGAAAGGCAGCAGATACCAATTTTACAGTCTCTGATTAAAGCCAGTTGCGGATCGAGCCGACGACAACTCGACCTCGTGGCAAACCTGCTGCCACGAGACCACCAATGATGTCCATCCCACATGTAAATATCTAAATAAAAGGAAACAGATGTTTATCGATATTTATGACTTTTAAATAAATTTCGAGTAAACTAATAAAGTGAATAAACCTGAGGTAATCGCATAAACTCAAGCAAAGCTCAATCCAGGTGAACTTCTCCTTCTATGAATGTGTCGCCCGCATTGCGAATCCAAACTCTATAAAAGAATTCACAATACAAATGATACAGTCGATACATTTCAGATCTGATGACCGTTTTGTGTCGGTGTCCGTTAACAGCGTTACTAGTTTTCAAATTTGTTTAACTTTTTTTATTTCGATTGTTGTATCTTGTTGAAAATGTCACAACGTTTCATTACAGTGGTAGATTTGACTTTCATGAGTGATAAAGCTTCTGTAAAGCTTGGATCATTAAATAGTAGTATAGACAGCTTTAGTATCGGATTCTTCGTGAAATGTCCAAATGCAACCAACACGACACTTCTATTTTCGTTGGCGAATTTTAAGTTTTCAGTTGGAGCGGAAATGATCTTTAATATAGCTGAGTAAGTACTGTATGAATAAAATATTAACAGACGATGAAGATGAAAGATTAATCTTTTTTTCTTTTCCGAAAGTGCAAATTTCAGTTAAAAAAATCGTTTAAAATTTCATTGTGTTGTAAAATCATTGGGCGAATGACTTTAAATATTAAAACATGATGATGATGATGATGATGATGATGATGATGATGTGAACCAACAACCATATCACAAATCAGCAACAACAACGGTAATAAAACTAATATTGATAAATTTATTTCTGAATATTTCTAGACACTCTTGTCACCTTACTGTGTCTAATGGAGTAAATTTAAGAAAATGGACACATATAACTTTGACATGGGACAAAGATTTAAAGGAAGTTAAGATGTATGGAAATGGTGCAAAATTGACTTCCTCAGTGTTTAATAATGTAACCCTCCAGGAAGCTGATATCCCAATTGGAAGTTTTCTTGAAGTAATGTCAACTCAGTCTGGTTAGTAATTGTTTTCATTGTATATCAGTATAAGAACTTGAAGAACTAAAGGTTTTCATTAAGACTTGACTTGACTTAATAAATATCTGCATTTTTTTTTAATCAGTGTTATTTGCAGAGCTGATTTTATCTATTTTTGCATATAAACATGATGAATTAATTAAAGAATTTACTGCTTTCTTCAATATATTAGTACATTGACAAATTGATATAAATAAGGTTTTCAATACAAACCAACAGTAACAAAACTATCCCAAAATGTTTTAACGATCACTATGATCGTCTGTTTTCTTGTATTATGATCATTATGATCAGAATGTTTTGTTCGGGCAGTAAATGGCAGAGTTTTAGAAGAAACGCATTTTTTTTATATGCAATTGTTATATATTTTACGATTAATTCCCTTGTTACCTCCTTCAATTTACAGTGTTTATCGATTAATATTAAAAAGAATCACTGAAAGGCCAATTGCCCTATCATTTTTCATGTTGTTCGTATATGCATCTTTCGTATCATCGATCTTTATGCAATCATAATAGAAGGAATCAGGCAAAAAGGTGTCAAAAAATGGATTAAAAAAACAAAAGATAAGATATTAAATACACAAAAACTGGTATTTACCAAATGTTCAATTAAGCAATAACATAAACGGTACCATTTCTCATGCACCAGATGCGCATTTCGAGACTTTTTGCGTCTATAAGTGGACACGTTTTGGTGTTAAACAACTGTCGAAAACTTTTGAGATAGGAAAATTTCAGACACGATTGAGCGAAGTTAATTAATGGACACGTTTTGGGGGAGGTGAAATCGGACACGTTTAGGCGATTTTGGATTTTAGGTAGGTTTTGGCGAAATGGACACGTTAAGGCAATTTGTGATTTTAGGAAACATTTGGACGAAATAGACACGTTAAGGGGATTCAACAGGTTTCGAGGGAAAGACACGTTTGAGAGTGTTGCATAAATATTACGTATACATATTTGCCATGCTTGGCGTATATATACTTTATTCTGGTACACAGTATAGAATTAGTGTTAAAATAAGCATAATCTTGTAACGACCACGGGTAGCCATGTTTTTTTGTTTGTTTCATATACAATATGCACATTTAAATAATTTATCAGCAAAAACGTATCATATACCCCTATATATTTGGAATGTGTGGTTACTTAATAATTTCTAAGCAATATTGTAAAAATAAATATATATTTTAACATATTTATAAAACATATAGTAGAAAAGATAAGGCGTTAACGTTATTGAAAAAGAAAGCGACATAGTCAAGAAAATAGATATACGGGATAAATCACTGGAGGTTAAGTGTTCAAGCCATATTTGAATAATTAAGTGCCAGTCTTATATGAATCAGGCAATTTAGAAAATTTCAAAACATGACCGAAAAAAAAAAAACCTGTCGGCCTTACCATCCTATTTCGAAGTTACCCTCGTCCTGAGTTAGAAATGAAAGTCTTTCGTTTCTGCGTGTCTGGTACTTCGAGAAATCTCTAGATAACTTTTGGTTAGAATGATAGCAAATTATGGAGTTAACTACCCTTAATTGGTAATTTCTAGTGCATTTCAACCAAATTATATCTTGAAACACCAAAACAGTAAAAGGAAACGAATGTTATATTCTTGCACCATTATACATTTTGAACTTAGATTAATGTAAACTTAATTGGTTTTGGTTTTTTATGTTTTCACCACTGCCTGATTCTCAGGTAGATTTGCATTTAAGTGGGATTATAAAAAAAAAACGACAAGAAAGAGGAAAGTAAAATTCAATACACACATAAATTTAGGTAACACTCACACAAAGACCCCCCCCCCCCCCCTGCAAACAACCATTCATCCATCCATCTATCCATCCATCCATCAGTGCGTATAAACAAGTGACGACTCTACGACAGATTCATTCATTGGATCACCAGTGAAGGTGATACACGGCTAAAAACACATATTATATTCATAATTACTCTAAATATCAGCACAACAATGTTAAATCTGCAAATTTGCGGAAGTAAATTTTTGTTCTTCCCTCGCCTGGATCCGAATTCATGCTGTTGGGATATCGAGACAACGCCGCCTGAACTGTGTCCAGCGATCTAGACCACTAGAGTAAATATGAATAATTCACTGGTGATCCAATGGATTGATCTGTCGAAGAGTTGTCACTTGTTTAGACATACTTATCAAAAAATTATTTCTGTGACTGCATCTTACGATCCTTTACGACACAAAATTTAGCTAATCTGCAATCAATTCCATCTTCATGCCTACACTACAAAAGTCTAAAAGTCTGAAAAGACCAGTTTTTGTCTTAATTTGCATGAACTTTTACTCGACATTCTCCAAAAGTATGACTTGTGTCTTAATTTTTCTTGACAAATTCTCATTTATATTAAATTTGTATGAAATTTACTCGACATATTCTCGACATTCTGAATATGGTCTTAAAATTTCTTGACAAATTCTTGACTTTTGAATACTGTCTTGAAATTTCTCGACATATTCTCGACATTCTTATTTTTTCTCAGTATGGCTTGACATATTCTGAACATTTTGAAAGGTGTCTTAAATTTACTTGACAGTTCTGAGTTTTACAAATCATGACCAATATTCATGATATAACTTTAATCTTTATTTCTCTTTATATGATATACTGTTGTTTCAAGTTACACTTCTTTACAACAAAAATAAAAGTTGGGCATGTAAAATAATTGAAAATTTGGGTATATAAATATTTTTACAAATTTCAAATATGGCTATGAAATCTAAAGTATAAAATAATTCAAATGTGGGTGTGTTGATATAAAACAATTTCAATGTGGGTTTTTAAATAATTACAAATTTTGATTCCTAAATCTTATAAATTAAATGATTCAAACCAATCATACTGTAGTCATATTTCATTCTACATTCATAATATTCAATGTTGATATGGTAAATAATTATTATACCAAAATGTGGTTTATATAAATAGCAAATTATGATGATATACAAATCATTCATTTAACAGAAGAAAAATTTGTGTAATGTCATCTGTTGGAATATATTAAGTATTACACATGGACAGGATGTTCCCCATAAAATTAAGGTATTCCACACCCCAGAGTACACGCAACTGTCAAATAGAAGTTATTGCTTTACCTGTAATCAGCCATACAACTTATCAGTTGACCGACCATGCCACTACAATCTAAAAAGTTTGTTGATAGATGAAAATGAAAATCATCATTTTGATGAAAAAAATTGAATTGAAATGGATTTTCTTCATCAAAATTATGAAGTTAATTATTTTAACATAAAAACAAATTGAATAATTCCCAAAGATTAAAAGAAAATTATTATCTACTCCAGGAATAATAAAAAAAATGTATTTATAATGGGTCCCATCAATGATTTCTATAGAAATCATCGGTCTTATGAAATGGTTCTCAAACAGACATGCATAATATAGATCTAAACATTTTTTTCTTTTCAGGAAGGAGTTACCACAAATATTTATTTTTGATAAAAAATTATAAAATTCAACATTCAAATTTGAATAAAAAATGTTTTTGGGTTGTTCTAAAAAATGAATAAGGTTTTTGAATCAAGATGGGAACAAATTCTTTGACCTAAACGAAAGCCCCCCCCCCCCTCCTCTTTTTTTAGCCACACAAACCCAAAAGATGAATTGTGGGGTCCAAAAGAGATACAAGACACCTATTTTAGAAAAGCAAATTTGACTGGCAGTTTTGCGAACGGCAAAAATCTAAATGCTGTTTGTCAATACCTTCGACTTATATTCCAAGTGAAAACAATTACTTAAATGTTTAATAAAAATAAATCAAAATTAAACTACATGGGGGATTATTCAGGGTATTCCAACTTAGTTGCACCAAAAGGGTATCTTACTATACCAAATTGATCCTTGATTCTTCAAAGTTTAGTTTAGCCATAATAAAAAGGAGTATATAACAGCAATAGAATGTCATAAACAGTGCAGAATAAGTCTGTTCACATTTCAGGCGAAATTTATACTGTTGAGATAGTGTCAAGACATATTTAAGACTGTCAAGAATGTGTCGAGACATATTCAGACATTATTTAGAATGTCAAGAATATGTCGAGACATATTCAGACATTATTAAGAATGTCAAGAATATGTCAAGACAGATCGAGACAAATTTAAGACAGTCAAGAATTGGTCGAGACTAATCCAGACTCTTATCAGATGATACAGGAAGTGTCGAGAAATTTTAAGACAATGTTCATACTGTCAAGACACTTGTCAAGAAAAATCAAGAACCTTATTAGACAATTTCATACTATGTCAAGAATTTTTAAAAATTATTCAGACAAATTAAGAATGTCGAGTAAAAATTCATGCAAATTCAGACAAAAACTGGTCTTTTCAGACTTTTTGACTTTTGTAGTGCTATATAGATATAAGAAGATGTGGTATGAGTGCCAATGAGACAACTCTCCATCAAAGTCACAATTTATAAAAGTAAACCATTATAGGTCAAAGTACGGTCTTCAACACGGAGCCTTGGCTCACACCGCACAGCAAGCTATAAAGGGCCCCAAAAATTACTAGTGTAAAACCATTCAAACGGGAAAACCAACGGCTAATCTATATAAAAGACGAGAAACGAGAAACACTTATGAACAACATCAACAAACGACAATATATCATGTACTGTGTTACAACTCTAGATTCTACTGATGAGGAAAGGTAACACTAAGGCCACCGAAAGCTGAATTTTTAGTTCAGTCTAGGTGGCCGAGTGGTCTAGAGTGCTGGACACAGTGCAGGCGGTGTTGCCGCGAAATCCCAACAGCACGAGTTCGAATCCCGGCGAGGGAAGAACAAAAATTTGCTTCCGCAAATTTGCAGATTTAACATTGTTGTGCTGATATTTAGAGTAATTATAAAATGACTGAATAATAGCCAACGATAAATCTTACGTGGCGATGGATCATATAATTATGATACATTACACTACAAAATATAACATATAACCAGTCTAAAAGGGTACAACATCACAAAAAATAACAAAAAAATGAACAAATGTAACTTTAAATATTTCGGATAACAGATATCCTTCATCAGTATGATCATGATGTAAGATTTATGTTATTGGTTTTTTTGGTGATGTTGTACCCTTTTAGACTGGTTATATATATATTTTTTTCACTTTTTGGTCTTTTGGAAAATGTTGTTTGTGCTGTATTTAGACCCCTCAATCAAGAAAATTGTTTTGCATGCACACGTATAAAAATTGCGGGTTTTATCCAACGCAATCATAGGTTTTAACGTTGTTTTCAATTAAGACTTGTTTATATTTTTTCGTTTGGGCTTGTATTATATTTTCCTTCGGGTTTATATGATCCGTTCATCCTATTTCTAATATTTCGACTCTTCAAAATTCAAGAGTCTATCCTAAATTGAGGTAAATTATATGGCCTTCCAAATACCGTTTCGATCCCTAACATCACTAAAGAGACATTAATTGTCGAAATCCGGATATGGTATACTAATTTTTGCACCTTTTGTTTGCGGTATACCATCTTTTCCGCAAGTTTATTGTTTTCTGTTTGGTATTAAATTAATAATTTTAAAAGATCCATTTTGTAACATATTGTGATCCGTTTATTAGGCAATCGCCAATGGCAGTCAGCAGGGTTTAAAAACAGCTGTTGTTCGACCTGTTAGTCAAATGCGTTTTGTTAAAATATACTTTTTCACTTTTTTGGTCTTTTGGAAAATGTTGTTTGTGCTGTATTTAGACCCCTCTATCAAGAAAATTGTTTTGAATGCACACGTATAAAAATTGCGGTTTTTATCCAACGCAATCATAGGTTTGAACGTTGTTTTCAATTAAAGAACCTTAGTGAGCGCGCTCACATACCCCACGTCCCTACATTGTCATTGGAGAAATAAAATATGTGTAAGAAAAAAAAATTGTATAAGAAAAAAAAATTGAATAATAATTTCCTGTCAATATGCACATCTACATAGTATGTCCTTATTATCTACAAAGTTTCATGAAATTATGTTGTGTGGTTTCAGGGGAGTTGCGATGACAAACTGTTGCAGAAGTACATTGAAGCAAATAAGTTCAAAGGGGCGTAACTCATAGAAAAAAAATTGAATCATAATTTCCTGTCGATATGCACATCTACATAGTATGTCTTTATTATCTACAAAGTTTCATGAAATTCTGTTGTATGGTTTCAGAGGAGTTGTGATGACAAACTGTTGCAGTAGTACATTGAAGCAAATAAGTTCAAAGGGGCGTAACTCATAGAAAAAAAAATTTGAATCGTAATTTCCTGTCGATATGCACAACTACATAGTATGTCCTTATTATCTAAAAAGGTTTCATGAAATTCTGTTGTGTGGTTTGAGAAGAGTTGCGATGACAAGAAACAGGACTGACGGACTGACGGACGGACAGACGGACGGACAGACGGACAGACAGACGGACGGACGGGTCAAAAACATTATACCCTTCGCAAAAAAATTGAGTGGGGTATAATTAAGACTTGTTTATATATATATATATATATAATATCAGCGTTGGTTAGGGCATGAGCGACTGTTTGAATACGCTCAGAATATTACTATAGGAAAAAATTAAGAAAAATTAACGTCTAAAAAAGAGATACGGATTTGAAATGAAAATGTATTCGTTTACCTCGGCATCTTCAGAAGCAATATGACAATATATTAAGGTAGAAGGACAATGCATACAACCTGTTTGCTAAATCAAAATTACCAAAATAACAATTATTTGGTTATTACGGTACATGCGACTTTAATATAAACAGAGTTTAAATGAATAAACAAAATGAATGTGTTCCAAATTTAGACGTTTATTTAGCTTTTTACAATCTGTAAAAAGAACTAATACCGATTTGTTCGGATATATGTGGAACCAACTATTCTTTTTTAAGTTTTAACGATGAATCTCGAGATTACACGAACTAATTATAGTATTAAATATTTCATTTAAGTCTCAACATTGTTTTCAGGGTGTTCAACAAGTGGTCTATTTCTTGTACCGAGAGTATTACCAGAAAATGAAATTAATGCACTCAAAGATTCTTGTGAAGCATCAGTATCAAACTATGTTTATTCCATGAATGATGTATTTTCCTCAGAGATGAACGGAACTGAATTATCACCCTCAGGATGTGATGGTATCATACAATATTACTTTAATTCAAACTTTAAGCCAAAGTAGCTTTAAATACAAAACGATTCATTTGTGTGTATATTTTGAATGTTATTTTCTATACTTTATTATAAAGTTATGTCAAAGTTAAGATTAATGAGATTTTGACAGGTCTGTTCAGGCCAATACACTTTTGTATGCGTTTTGCTTTTCAAACATTTGATCAAAGAGACGGCAGATACTAAAGGAACAATCAAAACTCAAAAGTTTATACATGCAATCTATCCAGCTATTTAATTACAGACTTAATCATATACAGTATTTCAGATAAATAGAAAATGTTTGTATAGTATGTTAAATGAACTACTCTTTACATACGTCTGTCTTTACAAGTAACGTAAATTAGAAATTGAATAAACACAAGAACTTTTATGTAAATTGTAGCAATAGATGAATGTGAAAGTAGTCCATGTAGCAATGGCAACGTGTGTACAAACAAAAAAGGTGGTTACGAGTGCCAATGTAATGGTGGTTATACTGGAATAAATTGTCAAATTCCCCCAGATTTTTGTGTTTCAAATGACTGCGCTAATGGTGCAACGTGTCTTTCTCATTTTACAAACTACACTTGCCAATGTCCAGCGGATTATACTGGATTGTTGTGTGAAGCAAAGATAGGTAAGTGCATAATCCTCGACGAGGGGGTCGGGGTTGGGTAGGGGGGAGTTTATGATCTTGACTACCAATGAGGGTCTTGCACGATCGTAATAAAAATACTGTACAATATCTGAATGTATGTATCATACGATAAATATAGATTATTGCATTGGTATAAATGGATTAATTGATATATCTTATCGAGAAAGGATAGTTAAATTATCGAATATTAAAGTCCGAGGCTCGATGATTTAACTTTCGAGATTAGATAAATTCGATAATCCACGAGTAGCTATGTAAAAGAGAGGCGAACGATACCAAAGGGTCATTCAAACTCATAAGTCGAAAATAAACTGACAACGCCATGGCCAAAAAAGAAAAAGACCAACAGACAAACAATAGTACACACAACACAACATAGAAAACTAAGACTGAGCAACACGAATTAACCCCACCAAAAACTGGGGGTGATCTCAGGTGCACCGGGAGGGTAAGCAGATCCTTCTCCACATGTGGCACCCGTCGTGTTGGTCATGTTAGTACAAACCCGTTAATAAGTCTTAATTCGGTAGGTCACATTCGGTAAAAGGGGACGGGATTGTAGTGACGACATTAGGAACATATCCGTTATCATCTGTGAAACGGATATTCCGTAACGGTCAACCAACTCGTGATGGCGTCCGTAAAATTTACGAAGGGATGATTTATGAATCTATTTCTCTAATGATCATCACGTAAATTTTCATAAAATCCCCTTTTTTAATCAATGGGTCCAGAAAGAGTTAAATCGTCAAAGATTTAGAACAAATGTAACAATTAGTACTGTATTGTTTACTTTAGTTATTGCTTCTTCTACTGTGCCTTTACAAATTAAAGAATTGACTGAAATGAACGATTTCTCTAAAGTTAAAAATTTCTCCCTAACAAGTGACTGGGCATATTTATTTACCGTCTTTCGTCTGCTCGTATTTGGATATTTATTTTGATTTCTCACTTCATATTATGATTAAATTGACTCCTATCAGTTATTTTCCGTAATTCTCTTGAACCATAACAATCAAATCAAAATTACATTTTTCTTAAGCATTACAATACCTACCTTAACATTTACTTTCACTTAAAATTTATGCTCTGCGAATTTTGTTTTCATTCTCTCAAAGTGTTCGATGCTATTTTAATGTTGTTTCCATAATGGGAGAACCTTAGACATTAATAAAAGCCAATATCATATATCAGTTATATTGCATTTTTTTAATATATTTTCTTATAAAAACAGGTTTGACATTTGAACCACTTTTCCGTCATTTTTATTCTGAGCTATATAATATTCTCTCACATCGTTGTTATAATTAATTTAAAAACACATTTGGATAAAAATGGTCTAAAGTAGTGCTTCTTATCACAGTAGAATAATTTGACATTTGAATGTACGGTTATACATTATTTTTTTACAAATGCATTTGAAACTATTGAAAAAAAACTTAATGTAGAAATATGCAAAGTCTTGACTGCATGTCCTCTCCTGAATAGACCTTTGAACATATATGCTTTTTTAATAGTCTTGATGCTCCAGAATACAACTTGTTCTTTGTATTCACGATAATTCATTGTACTTTAGCAGTGTACCGTTGTAAGTTTGAAAACTGAACCGTATTGAGGTTGTAAAATGAAATAAGAAAAGTGGTTTTCAAAGTTTAAAGATCTTTTTAATTGAAATATTTATTTATGTCTACTGAATGAAACCAGGCTATAAATGATTTTTCCGTTAATTTTTTGTACATAGTAGATATACATAAAATGAATCTTAAAATAAATTTAAAATCCCCTGATACCAATATGGGTATATGTTAGTATAGTTTAGAATAACATAAACGGTACCAATTTTACTACACCAAATGCGCATTTCTCTTCAGTGATGCTCGAGGACAAAAGTTTTGAAAATAATCAACCTTATACAAAAATTGAAAAGCTGATAACACCGAACAGGACCTAAAGTATAACAAAATCTGAAGAAGGAATCCAATATTCTTATACAATTCGTTTGGAATGATAATTGTCATTGGACGTTGACAAATATTTTCAAAGGTTAGATTCCACGTTCTACCAGTCCGTAACTAAGGAAAGCCATACTTTTGAATTCAGAATTTATTTGGTATGTAATTTCTCAAAGTAAACAAAAAAGTCTAGTGTTTATGTTTGACATCGGGAGTATACCTATGACGTCACATTGTTTAGATGCCAAAGACGATGTAACAGATTCGCGGACTTTCCATTTATGGCATTTTTAAGCCAAAATATTTACTAAAATGGAATTTATTTTGATATGTGGCATGACATTAGAATGGAGATAACTGTTTTGTATTTTAAGTTTGACCATCGTAAAACTTGATTTTACTGTCCCAAATATCCTGTTTACCTAGCTCCACCACGCGTCGCTAGGTAAACTCAGTTTGCGACAGTAAAATCTACGTTTTACGAAGTCTAAGCTTAAAATAGAATACAATTATTTCTTAATTTGGTAGGGGAGATATGTTCCTTAAGTAGAAAAACTTCGAAAATTATATTACAGCAATTATTAATCAAACAATATCCGTACTTTCATGTCCGTACCGAAATACTGACTACTTGGCAGGTCATACCCTCGGGGTTTAACAGTCAACCAGCAGAGTTGCACAACACCTTTCTTCATTAACAGATGACCATTATTTTTTTTATTGTAAAGATGTGAATAATTGGAAATCATATATATGAATAAATTCTTACAAATAAAGATTAGTTACTATTTCTTTAAATTCTTAGTGCATGGTAATTGGGGTTCTTGGATTAATTCATCTGACTGCTCGGTTTCTTGTGGTGGCGGCTCACGTAAAAGAACTCGTTACTGCAATGATCCTAGCCCTGATGCGAATGGCATAGACTGTGCAGGGAGCAACACGTCACAGAGTATTTGTAATACTCATGATTGTCCAGGTAAGATAAAATGAAGTTTGCAAAATATTTAAAACTGGATGTTTTATATATACATGTAAATCTAACATAAACAGCAGTAGTTGTCCTTTTCTGGATTTTGACATTTCAATCTCTAAAGGAACAACTCCATACGAAAATTTACGACAAAAGAGACGATTTTTCATTCCTTATTGTTAATTTTCCTTTTTTAGACGGCGATGTTCCTTTGGCTCCATCATACGGTGTTTATATATCCCAACTCGTTCGTTACGCCCGTGTGTGTAGTGATGTCATAGATTTTAACGAACGTAATCAATGCATCACTGGTAAGTTATTAAATCAAGGATTTCGTTACCATAAATTACGTAAAACTTTTGCTAAGTTCTTTCATAGATACAAAGATTTGATTAGTAAATTTGGCTGTACTTGTAGAAAACTGATTAAAAACGGTATTTCACATCCTAAATTTTACGGTAATATTGTACTTAAAGCGCGGAAATCACGATGTGATCCGTGTAAACTCATCCAACCTTTAAACAAACTTATTAGTAAAGGTAATTAGATCTTTGAATATAGTTTACATTGGCACTAATATCGATTTTGTCATCAGCAAATTAAAACATAACTGAATTTGTTTTTTTTTCAAGCGGGATGTATAAAGACACACCCACGTTCGTTTAGATCTATAAAGAGGTTAAACTCCTAACTATCCTACTGTCTGTCGATACATTTATTTTTTGCATTGCACTAGTCATGTCTTCTTTGACTGTCCATGACGTTAGAATACTAAATCCCTGGGATGTGTTTTAGTTGATTTTAGTCTCTGATGCATGATTTTTTATTATTAGTTGTTTTGGCTTTTAACTAGCTGTCAGTAACTGCAAGTACTCTCAAATCGTACTTTCTTGTTTATTTGACCTGTTGATACTAATTGTATTGCTTTTTTTGTTATTTAATGTTATTCAGGGTTATATCTGGTCTATATACCAGCTTTGATAAGTGTTTGGTATAACTTTAAATTTTCACTTCGTACTATGAACATCAAAATTATTTATTTTGTAAAAATATTTCCTTTCTCCATTTGAACTATACACGTATACCTAACAACAAATTTATTTTCATTTACCTGTGTTTAAAGTTATTGCAAATGGATGATATTTTTGTTCGAGCATATTGTTTTTCTTTAATTGTTTAACATTTCTTACCGATATACATGTTACTTTTATTATTCTTCCCTTAGTTTATTTATTTTGTATTTTTTCCTTAGTTTATTTATTTTGTATTTACATTGTGTCATAGGTCAAATTTATTTGTTCAGTGTATGTTCAATGGTGTTAATATGTCCTTTGATTGAGTTAAGCTATTTCAGTTGATATTTTATAGTGTGTCTTTCTATGTTGTGATGTTACCATATTGTTTCAGAAAAAGGGTGAAGGTTTGGTACCATTAAAACGTTTAAACCCGCTGCATTTGTTTGCACCTGTCCTAAGTCAGGAATCTGATGTTCAGTAGTTGTCGTTTGTTGATGTGGTTCAGAAGTGTTTCTCGTTTCTCGTTTTTTATATAGATTAGACCGTTGGTTTTCCCGTTTGAATGGTTTTACGCTAGTAATTTTTGGGGCCCTTTATAGCTTACTGTTCGATGTGAGCCAAGGTTCCGTGTTGAAGACCGTACTGTGACCTATAATGGTTTACTTTTATAAATTTTGACTTGAATGGCATTGGCACTCATACCACATCTTCTTATATCTATAAAGTTCTATTTCTGATCTTATATTGAGAATTTTACCTTAAAACGGAAATCCAGATATGTAGGCAATTTTTGAAATGAAATATGATTCCCACGTGTTTCAGTTTCAATGAAATTATGTCTTTTACAAACTTAATGTCAAGTTACAGTAAAAAGTGAAATAACAAAAATACCAAACTCCAAGGAAAATTCAAAACGGAAAGTCCTTTATAAAATGGCAAAATCAAAAGCTCAAACACACCAAACGAATGGAAAACAACTGTCATATTCCTGACTTGGTATAGGCATTTCCTAATGTAGAAAACGGTGGAATAAACCTAGTTTTATCGCTAGCTAAACCTCTCGCTTGTATGACAGTCGCATAGAATTCCATTATATTGACAATAATGTGTGAGCAAAACAAACAGACATAATAGGTAAAAATGTCAAAAATTGGGGTACAGCAATCAACAAAGAAACAAAATGGCACGAAGACACTAAATGAGCTATGTCACTGATTTTGATAAAATTTTGCATACATGAGCTACATCTAAATTTCGAAAAATAATGTATTTATCTCTTTAATTGTCTGAAATATTACTGATTGCATTCTTTTAAAATATGGGAACATGTGTATAAATTTGTCTTAAAATCCAATTTTAAATCCATAATTTTTTTCTTTATAAGTTGATGATACATACATTTGCATTTTAATGATGTAGAATAATGATAGGGTCACCGACTTCCTTTTTACGGTAATCATCATTCAATGTGGTATTCAAGGTGAACAAATACAACAAAACGTCGAAATAAGCGTAACGTCATCACGTTGTAAGCGTTCGATTTTTGACGTTTTTCATTGCAAACTAGGTAAAACATTGGTTAATACAAAAATAAAAACCAAAGTCGGTGACCATTAGATTATTTCATATCATTAAAACTAAAATTTATGTATTAACAACATATAATTTTTGGGGAAAATCTATGGATTTTAAGATGGTGATTTGATGATTTGAAGGAAAATTTAAGAGCGTTTTTCTGCGATTTGATATGCTTTCTATACAAATGTTCACCTATTTTGAATGAATTCAATCAGTAATATTTCAGAAAAAAGCGTTTGTCCAGATAGACAGACGAGTTGAAATGCAGTAAAACATTTTTAGTACTTTTTGTTTTAACAAACTGATAACCTATAAGTCTTTGAAGGTTTTACAATATCAAAAGTCGGTGCTTCTTGGCTGGAAAAATTATTATTCTATAAACGCTATCAAGAGGTCTTTTTTGTTTTGATCCTATTGTATTGTACTGCCATTTTCAAGAATTGACATCCACTCGTAAATCTTAGAAACCAATTTTTTATGGAGATTGTAGGGATTTTAGACTATTTTGAGTATATGACCTCTGTTTTATATTCACTTTTCGTTTCTAAAATGTTTTTGAATATTAATATTCTAAGTGAAACAAATTGAACACACAGCTCCCACCCCCCCCTTCCACCACCCCCCCCTTTTTCCCCCCAAAAAAAAGGAAGGAAAAAAAAAAACTTTGATGACTGCTGTTGAAAAATACATTTAGTATACGTTATGGTACAAAAGAGGCAGAAAATACAACGGGGATATTAAAAGCAATTCGAGAGAAACTGACAACGCAATGGAAAAAAAAAACGAAAGAGGACAAACAGACGGACAAGTTCACACAACACTGAGCAACACAATAATCACCAAATACATGGGGTGATCTCAGATGCTCCGGAAAGGTAAGCTGATTCTACTTCACTATTGACACCCGTCGTGTTGATCATGGTAAGAAAATGTTCCGTTAAGAGTCTTATTCGGTTAGGTCACAATCGAGGGAAAGAAGACGCGGTTGTGGTACTGACAAAACTTTCTAATGGATAACTCCAACCCTTTGGTCATTAGCTTCCTTATAAGCATCAACTCTCTATAAAGGAAATTATGTTCGGAATTGCAAGCTCTGAAATACCATTTCATCTGTGAGATATATACAGCAAATCGGGTGCTACTGGAATGTTAGTACATAAAAATGGAAAGAAAAAAAATTTGAAGTGATAGGACTGGTTATAAATTCAAGCCATTAGGTATAACATGATGTCAATATTTAATTTTTTAGACTTTCAATAGATATTGATTGAACTTTTTCAGTTTGTCCACCGTATTACAGAGTCATGGAGTACAAAAACAGTTTCAACTGCTCTACAAATGATGATCTAATATCATGTGTTGTCACCTGTGCGGATGGATATACCTTTGTAAAGGATTATTACCCGCTTGACAAATATGAATGTGGGCCTCAGACAGGTTACAGTTGGACTGCTAGACCTCCACCGTGTACCTGTATGTATTATTATGTAAGGAATATAGAAATTTGAAATTATTAAAAAATTGAAAACAAAATCTGCGTAATACTGAACTCAATATGCTCGGAAAACTTCACCCATTAGTAGTTCAGGAATAAACAATAGTTCAATAATATCAGTCTTAACCCCCAGTTAATTCTTGGATGAACATATAATAGGTAAGATATTAATAATAACATTTATGAGAAAATTGAATGAAAAGCAACGACACTGGACAAACACATAAGAAAAGAGGTACTCAAACAGTGAAAACTTAAACCTATTGGGTATAAAAACTTCTTTCAAATTCTTAAGTTACATTAATTGCTATGAAAAGGCGAGCATATCCTACTTCTCATGCGACAGCTATTAATTGCGAAGTAGTAAAATGTCAAAGAAAGACTCATGGAAATATATGTTTGTTCATTTGGTAACGCTGACACTTTATAACGATCAACTACTACCGGATTGCAATAATTTCATTGGTGGCATTTGAAAAGATGGCATCATGATTAAGATGGCAGTGGTGTTGATCGAACAGATTATGTGAATATTGTAGTGCTGTCAAAAACTTAAACGTGTAAAAAGAAGAGAAAACAACTCCGATATGCAAAAATTATTATCAGATCTTATATTTAATAATAAAGCATAATACTATTGGAATATTGGAATTAATTATGTTTGGAGTATCAAAAGCTGTTTTAGATATATAACTTGCTTATGATGGTCATTTCAGTTCAGTTGACAGTAATGACGTTTCAACTCTCTACACAACACTTCAACACAATCTTATCCAAATCTTTATGGCAAATGTATTTTCTGCAGCTGATATAAAGCCTTTCTCTGTAATACAAAAGGTTAATACACTGACCATGCGATGAGATAGTTATAGCTTTTAATTTTCTCCATGACATCAAATATTCACGCTGTTCTATTGTAAATCAAACCATCTCTCCTAATTTTTATATTAGCTACAATCTTTTTTAGGGTATTAAGTTCAAAACTATGTCTCCAATGCCCATTATTAAAAAAAATATAGTATGTTTTTGGCTAATTCCTCGAAAATAATTGCACAGAGTAAAATCCTACAGTCTCTCCGTTTTCCAAAATTGTCACTCGACATCAATTCTTTCCTTTTTTTTATTGGCTATCATCTTGTTAGTTTAAAAGGTAGTAAAACTATAAATACAAAAAAATCGACATAACGGAAATGTAAAACGAAAAGAGGAAGTACCCTTTTTTGCCTCTTTGCGTATTATCTTGTAAATAATAAAAGATCGAGAAAAACTATAAACAGCAATTAAACTGTTGTTAGATGTTTTATGTTGCATATGTGAACGATGAAGTTTCCCTTTATCCTGTAGTTTCATGATCTAATGACGGTACATCCTTCATATTAGGGACTCATGTTTCTGTTTACGTTTCATAATTATTCTTCGATGAATATTGACAATCTAGTAAAGAAAAATTCTGCATGTACCGTTCACGCATTTGGTTCCTATTGGAATGCAAATCGTCTGCTGGAAAATAAATGCACTGATTTGAACCAAGCGTTATCAATCCATTCGAAACATAGCGTGATCTCTAAAACAGACCACAATGTATGAATGACAATATGCCAATCTGCAATCAACATATTAGACTATTAAGTAGAAAACTGTCTCTAATAATGTTATATCATGATCATTATAGATCAAAGATCTGAGCCAATTGTATCATATTATATTGACAACTTAAACATTGTATTAAGAAAACTCTTAGTGATGACCTTCGGATGCGATAAAGTTCAGATACTTTAAAAAAAAATCGAAAGAACTAGATTCGAAATTAACAAAAACAAGTAGCACCTTACCGGAAAAAGCGTCTAAATAACTCATATCATACATAAAAAAGATTTTCAATTTTTGATACCAACTGTAGATTTAAACTATGTTACAAATAGGAAAAAGAAAACGACATTACATTTTTATCTTGTCGCATTGTTGTCTTTTCAACAAAGTCATCATATTTTAATTTTCTTGTAGCTGGGCACCACCCAAAAGGTGTCAATAGTAAAACTGTTGTTACTTACAGTGTGAATTGTGATGACCAGACGCAGATGATGTCTACACTTTCCACAAAACTAGAAACACTTCAGTGTATTCAAAATAAAACATGCTCGTTGAACACAGAGGTATCAGGGTGTCAAAATAATGGTAGAAAGAAACGATCTACATCGATTGATGTAACAATTCAGTTATACGCAGATTTCACACAAATCGGAGATTTGAATTTGCAGGAATTCCTTGCAAATAATATAGGTAAAGTGATTTTTCATAACATAGTCTACAATTGTTTATACAAAAATATAAATGACAGAAAATTGTTGAAAGAGGCATTTGCATGCATTGTTTAACTGTAATTTCGTTTCAGTTAAAAGTTCTGTACTGTAAAATGTGCACTTATAAATATGAGAAAAATTTTCTGAATTCTTACAAAATTAATGTATTTGTTGTCGTAAATGTGCAATTTGTCATTATCAATAATATATGTAGAAAAGGGTGTCCATAACTGTTTACATAAAAGACCCAAATGCCAGCTTCCGAAACGAAATATACATCACATGGGTCTTGTGTAGCTAAGCTAAGTCTGGTTTTATGAATCTGTTGAAAAGGTACCATTTATTTACCCAAGGAATAGATTACGTTCGTTGTATTTGGAAAAATGTTTTGGAATTTTTGGTCCTCAATGCTCTTTAACTTCGTGTTGTGTTTGGCTTATAACATGTTTGATTGGAGCGTCCCTGTTGAGTCTTTTGTAGACGAATCGTGTATCTGTACAAAAATTCTAAACCTGGTATCTTTGCTGTTTTTTTGTCTAGCCATAAAACCAGGTTCAACCCACCATTTTTTCTTAAAACGACCTGTACCAAGTCAGGAATATGGCAGTCCGTTTCTACGTATGTTGGCGTTTGTTGTTGTTGCAGTTCAGTGTTTCTGTTGTTCCATTGTTTTCCTCTTACAGTTGATGTGTTTCCCTCGGTTTTGGTTTGTGACCCGGATTTGTTTTCGCTTAATCGATTTATGACTATTGAACAGCGGTATACTACTGTTGCCTTTATTTTTCATCAATCTTATTATAAAAGTTCAAAGCTCTGCGGACATATTGCGCAATTGAAAGGCTTACGCATTTTTTGATGGTTTACACGGTTGATTATGTTCCCTTTTACTGTCCATTTTTGGTAATATCCTTTTGGCGTGGATCGGTATTTATACACCCCGCCATTGTGTAATTGTGCTATGGTCATTTTTTGTATTCTTAGTTTTCATTTTAGCTTATGTGCTTTGTCTATATGCCATTTTGTTTTTCTTTGTTGCCATAGTTGTTTGTTTTTATAGTGATTAAGATTATAAAACAATGTTGACTGCTGTACCCTAAGATTTGACACTTTTACCTATTATGTCTGTTTGTTTTGTTCACACGTTGTTGTCAATATAATGGAATTCAATGCAACTGTCATACAAGTGAGATGTTTAGCTAGCTATAAAACCAGGTTTAATCCACCGTTTTCTACATAAAGAAATACCTGTACCAAATCGGGAATATGACAGTTGTTTTCCATTCGTTTGGTGTGTTTGAGCTTTTGATTTTGCCATCTTATTTTTCTTTTGAGTTCGATATTTTTGTTATTTTACTTTTCAATTCATAGTCTTATCCCCACTATTATGGAAATTTAGAGTTTAAATCGACCCAAGAAAAACCACATTGTAACAATTGAAGCAAAGAAAAGGATTGGTTGATTGATTTTTTGTGTTTTAAAGCCACGTTCAGCACTATTGGCTATTTTGTTACGACCAGATTTTTATTGGCGGAGGAATCATAATTGCCCGGAGGGACCACTGACCTTTGGCATGAAAACAGTCAATCCTACTAAATTGAGATTGGAGTCGAGCGCACCTGCCACGTGCGGGATTTATACTCACAATCTAAGTGTTCAGGCAGAAACCCAGTTGAAATCAAACAAAATAAATGAAACTCTTTGTTAGAGAAGGTAAAAAAAAGGCCAAGTTGGTAAATTTGAATTGTTTACATTTTTGTCTATGGACTTTAAAAGTTTAATGAATGTGCCTAATCTAGGATTTTATAGAAATAAGCAGATGTGGTATGAGTGCCAATGAGACAATTCTCGATCCGAGTCACAATGCGTAAAAAGTAAACAATTATAGGTCAAAGTACAGCCTTCAACACGGAGCCTTGGCTCACACCGACCAACAAGCTATGAAGGGCCCCCAAATGACTAGTGTAAAACAATTCAAACAGGATAACCAACGGTCTAATCTATATAAAAACGGGAAACGAGACACAATCATATACCACATCAACAAACGACAACCACTGAACAACAGGTTACTGACTTAGGAAAGGTGCAAACAAATTCAGCGGGTTTAAACGTTTTAACAGGCGCCAACCTTCACCCTTACCTGAAATAATAGTTTAACATTTCAACATAGAAAGACATACTATAAAATATCAATTGAAATGGCTTAACTGCATCTTATGTATGTGTTTTTACTTAAATTATGTTATGGAGCTTCGAGATATTTGTAAACTTTTGAATTATAAACAATTTTTTATAAAACAGTCGATAGTGGTAGGTGCAATTGTTGATTTTTTTTTACATCTCTGCCCCCTCCCGCCCCCCCCCCCCCCCCCCCCCCCCCCCCCCCCCGATGGTCAATACTTTCATCGAAAAGAGAAAGTCGAGTACACTTTTTTATGTTCAGGCGTGTTTGAGTTGACTATTCTGTCTTCGAAAACGTATGAAAAAATATTTGATGCATCATATCGCTTCAGATTCTATCATTTTTATATATTTAGGCTCTAGGTTGATATGGTAACATTCGAAATTTACAGTACTAAAAAATGAAATATATGGGTCAAGTGAAATGCCTTTCTAATGAGTCATACCAACATAGTAGATGTGTTCGAATAACAAATTTTTACTGAAAGTACTTGACGACAGACCTTTCAAGTGGATCTTAAAAATGCATAACTTCAAAAAAACTTCATTTTGTGTGTGTGTTATCTAGGGTAATTAGTCTCCAACCTCTGAAAATTTTTAGTCTGCCCTATCATGAAATATTTAATTAGAATTTTATTTTAATTTTTCGAACTTTCGAAAATTCTCCCTGACAACCGATCAGACAATAGTTTTAAGTTGACCAAATACATAAGTGTACATTAAATGATGCTAAATAGCTAGAGATACATTTGTCTTTTAAAATACAACTGGTATATCAGGATCGTAATGATGCTATGTGGATAAATTTGTCGGTTTTCAAGAGCTAAATTGACAGCGCGTCATCACTACAATGGCTTCAATTTTTACGATTATCAAAATTAGGTGGCGTAATGGGGAGATAATTTGGACGAAGTAGAACCCTGACTGTGTTGACATGCTAAAAGAACAAATTCCTGGATATTTTGATAATACTGAACTCCCTCTTATTTGTTATATTTACAAGAAATCTACCCGGAAATTTGTGTTTAATTATAGCCAAGTCTGTAAAGATGTAGATATCAGTGAAAATACACCTACGTCATGTAATTGTAGTAATTCCGAATACACTTATGGCCCCATTTCCCATGTTATAACAGGAGACCTTAACATCGTTCGCGACCGAGAGTTAAAATCATTCCTCAGTAAAGGACCTAAATATCGCCCCCCGTCGATCATTAATTGGAATAAGTGTCGTAATATCATACACGACTCACTTCGTGCTTACTGTTTGAAATGGATAAAACGGGAAAAAGCTGACAAAAAATCTTTGGACTCTTTTTTTAATTCAGTAATGAAGATAGTTGATATATGTATACAACATTTTAAAAAACATTTTACTCTTAACAACAACCATAAAAATCCTATTTCTCGTATCAAACATAAACTAAAAGAACTAGCCAATGAATTTGTTTTTGTTCCGGCTGATAAAGCTGCTAATAATATCATTATAGTTTGACGTAAATTTTACATTGAGTTTCACCAACATTCCAACTGGCTTCATTTTCAGAAAACGATATCTGTAACAAACATAAACTATTAGCTACTTCTTTACAAGCAGAACCAAATACAATGAAAGTCCCAACTATGTACTGGCTTCCGAAGCTACAAAAATCACCTTACAAATATAGATTTATTTCATCTTCAAGTCATTGTTCCACTACTAAATTGTCTATTCTACTTACTAGTACACTTGGTACAACCAAAAACCTGATAATAAATTGTTCAAATAAGGCCTTTGAAAATAGTGGAATTAATTACTTTTGGAGTGTCAAAAACTCGTTGGAAGTACTTGATAAATTGCATGCATATATTGGTGATTTTGAATCTGTTCAAAGTTTTGATTTTTCTACCCTATATACCACTTTGCCTCATATTCTTATTAAGAAAAAATTCACACACCTAATTAAATGGGTATTTAAATAGTCGGAATGCGAATACATATGTTCAAACTCTTTTAGGTCATTTTTTAGTAGCAACAAACAAAAGAACTATGTCAATTGGACATGCTTTGATACTATATCTGCGCTTGAATTTTTACTTGATAACATTTTTGTTCGCTTTGGAGATTCCGTATATCGTCAAGTTATCGGAATCCCAATGGGAACTAACTGTGCACTACTTATTGCGGACCTGTTTTTGTATTGTTATGAGTTACAATTTATGACTAAAATCAGCAACGACCATTCGAAACAGCATCTGATACAAAAATTTAACAATACTTTTAGATATTTTGATGATATATTGGTTCTCAATAATGACGACTTCAGTATGTATACTAAAGAAATTTATCCTGTTGAACTTACTTTAAATAAAACTAATACTAACAATGACCACTGTCCTTTCCTCGATCTTGATATCTATATTATTAACGGGAAGCTTAATACAAAAAATTATGATAAAAGAGACGATTTTTCATTTCCTATCGTTAATTATCCATTTTTAGATGGTGACGTTCCCTTGTCACCATCTTATGGTGTTTATATATCTCAACTTGTACGATTCGCTCGTATGTATAACAACGTATTAGATTTTAGCGAGAGAAATTTATGTATTACTGAAAAATTATTACACCAGGGTTTTCGATATCATAAACTAGTCAAAACATTTACTAAATTTTATCATCGGTATGATGACATCATTCGTAAATATAACTCAACATGCAGACATCTTATACGTTCGGGTATTTCACATCCAATCTTGTATGGTAATATTCTTTACAAAGCACAAAAATGTCAGTATTCACCTCAAAAGCTAACAAAATCTTTAAACAGACTTACTAAGAAGGGATATAGTTACGATACTGTTGTCAGGTCATTAAAGATTGCATATTTTGGCTTTAATATTGATTCACTTATAGGGTCTTTGCATCGGAATTAAACACATTTATTCTAAAACCAGTTGTTGGCATGACACGGGTTATGTTCTTCTCATATATTTTATGACGGTATAATACTAAACCCCTAACAGGAGGGATTGTGCCTGATATTCATATGATGAAGACATAATCTTTCAATCACTTTTATTGAGGTCTGGAGCTGGCATGTCAGTAACTGCTAGTAATCTGTTGTTATTTATGTATTATTGTCATTTTGTTTATTTTCTTTTGTTTCCTATTCTGACATCGGACTCGGACTTCTCTTATACTGTGTTTTACTGTGCATACTGTTGTGCGTTTGTTTTTTCTACATTGGCTAGAGGTATAGGGGGAGGGTTGAAATATCAAAAAACATGTTTAACCCCGCCGCATTTTTGCGCCTGTCCCAAGTCAGGAGCCTCTGGCCTTTGTTAGTCTTGTATCATTTTTAATTTTAGTTTCCTGTGTATAATTTGGAGTTTAGTATGACGTCCATTATCACTGAACTAGTATACATATTTGTTTAGGGGCCAGCTGAAGGACGCCTCCGGGTGCGGGAGTTTCTCGCTGCATTGAAGACCCATTGTTGACTTTCGGCTGTTGTCTGCTCTATGGTCGGGTTGTTGTCTCTTTGACACATTCCCCATTTCCATTCTCAATTTTATTTTTAGTACAGTAGTTGAACTACTCAGACCACTTGGCCACCGAGGCCATCAAAATGAAAAGATGAAAAGTAGAATACAATAAAACCAAAAACATAAATTTATTAATAGACAAATTTATTAATAGACAATAAGATATTATACATAATCTAAATGAAATTAGTAGAAATTAATAAATGTAATTTTTGACTCTAAGTGTCACAGGAACTCCTAGATCTAATGCAAGGTTACACAGACATGAAAGAGTCTATTGACCAATTAAACGGCACAGATATATTGACAATTGATGTAAATGGCAACTTGTATACAACAGACATTTCTACCTTATCATTCACAACAAACATTTCATGCCCCGAGGGAACAGTTAATGAAGAACTTCTATGTGGTAAGTTAATAGAATACAAAACAAAACATTTATTATATGTATAAGTTTGCGGTATAGTATATATTCATATTAAGCAAATTATTGCCCTAAAAGAGTTAATGTACAAAAAATCCAAAATACACGAGTAATGTTAGCGTTCCAAAGTAAAATTTGGATCGGATTCCCACGGAGGAATTATGTTCCGTGGGGATCGGGTTCAGATTTGGCTACCCACCGTTTTAAAATTTTCATTAATTGCTCCTCTTGATTCGGATTCCAACGCCGATTTCGGATCGGGATATCCGTTGTGAACAAATACGTATAAATAGCAGGTGCAATTGTAAACTTTCGGTAGTTCTGTTTGATTTCATATCATAAATATAATTTATGATGTACGTTATCATTTTACCTGTAACATATATCAAATTGATTGTTTGCGAATCGAATTATTCAACGTAATAAGTTTTCTAGTTGTATTCTTAGTTTCACTTTTGTAGCTTTAATCCTTTTGAATAACTGATCATGGTGAGCGTATTTGCAATCTCGTCTAACAAGGGTAAAATTGTACGTTACATGCATTTGATCTAAATTATTGATGGTCGAAATATTGCCTTAACAGTCAATACTATATATATCAACGCAGTTTTTGGGGCTTATTGTGGATTATTTCCAAATTGATATCTGATAGCGAATGATCCTTCAAAATGCCTTGTTTGTAATATATATATATATAAAACAAAAACAAAAACGAAAAAACAAAAAAAACATAGTTTATATTTTTCATCTTATGCTGTCAAAATTGCAGCAAATGCCCTTTTGATATCCAGATATCAAAATCATAGTACCCGTTTTTCTCCGAGAGAAAAACGCAAAGCCTAAAAAATAAGCGGTAATCGAGAAATAGGATGACTCGTCAAATATATACTGAGTGAGGTAAAATTCATTCCGTCTGACACAATATTCTCATATATGAATGTAGCGGTTAAATGAATATATGTGGCAATAACATCCCCAAAATGTATTCCATAATAGCTTTACTTTTGAAAAAAATCGTTGATTCCTTACTACATTTCATATTACCATAGATTTATGTGTATACTTTGGGGTTCTGGCAACATTGTATTGTATTGTATTGCTTGCTATGTAACCAAATTACAAGTCCTAGTAAAGATTCCTTAAAACTATGATTTTTTACATCCTTAGCTTTCAAATATTCGGCTTTGAGCGTTCCTGATTAAGGTAAATCCAGAAAAGCGCATCGGACGCATGAAATTTACAACATGTTGTTTTCATTTTTTACAGCAATGAGTAATACCTCTGCTGGAGGACTATCAGTCCCCGAGGGTATCATCAGCTCAGTAGTCAGTATTTCGGTACAGACATGATTTATAACAAACTATCTAAAATTGCCCGTTTATAAATTTTGAAATTATAAAGAAACTAAGGTTTCAACTCCCTCAGGCAAAGTTGGCCTCAGATGGATTTGGCTATTTTTTTAGGTCCTTTTACATCGTTGGCTTTCAAATATTCGGCTTTGAGCGTTCCTGATGAAGGTAAACACAGAAAAGCGCTTCGGACGCATGAAATTTATAACGTGTTGTTGTCCTTATTTGGTAGTTTTGAAAGAAAATGAGATTTTAAGCCTGAGTTTATATAGTCTTACAAGTAAAGGCGCTATGTGAAGCATTCAAAATATTTTTATTCTATGAATTCTATGATATCTATATGAAATTGTTGAAAAGATTTTATGATTAAGACTCTTAAATACTATGATGGTCAAATGAGAAAAAGAAAATTGTCATACATTTTCAAAATATTCAACTATCACTCCTAGAGATTTCTATATTTCAGTTGAATGTCCATTTGGAACTTACTGGAGTAGTGGTTTTTGTGTAATGTGTCCAAAGGGATACTTTCAGGATATAAGTAAACAGTTATCATGTAAAACTTGTCCAGTGGGTTATTCAACGCAATTTATTGCTTCTAGAAATGAAAGTGAATGTACAGGTAAGTCTATGTTTTAATTATATATACAGCGTATAAGGAGTAAAGGTAATTGATCAAAGCAAAACTGTTACAAGTGTGACAAGAAAACATATAGAAATCACCACACTGCATTCACTGATAAGCAGAGGTCATCAGAAGAGAGTTACTTATACAACCATACATAACTTCCTATCAATGAATTATCAACAAAACCAGAAAAAATACGTTTAAAACACATAAAATCACATCTACGGTAATGTTGTTTATATTGCATGTAAATTTAACCACAATCCATGTTAACTCATTGATCTTTTGAATAAAGTTATTCTTGAGGGATTTAAATTTTAATACGTTTAACGATCTTTGAATATTGTTTTTGTGGATACTTACATTAATTATATTTCATAAATTAAACACTACTAAACATGTATTGAAAAACATTATGAAAACTTATGGTTCTACATCCTGTCGATATTATGTTCCTTTAATTTTACAGTGCAAAACGTCGTGCATTTCTCAGATTTTTTATGAAGTCCCTACATTAAATCCGTTGAATGTGTACTGATTGATACTTTTGTCTGACTGATCATAATTTATTTAGATGGTAGAGGTTTCACAAACATGTTTTACCCCTCCACATTCTATATGTGTCTATCTAAAGTCAGGAGCCTGTAATTCAGAGGTTGTCGTTAGTTGCTGTCTGTCATATTTGTTTTTCGTTTATTGTTCTGTTATCATTCAGACCGTTTGTTTCTTCATTCGAACTGTTTAACATTTTAGGGATTTTCATAATACTTTCAACGCGTCTGTGAATTCGCCCATTACACTTAGTTGTCGCCGTGCTAGTGCCTTCATACTGACCAGATTTACTTTAGATTTGGATGAAGGTATCCACTCGTCAACAAATTGAAACGGTGAACAATATCTATTTCTAAAAGAGGGGAAAGGGCTTATAAAAACATTTAATTTAATTATTATGGCAAGAAAAATAATTTGTTGTATTATCTTCTAGTTTGAATAAAGGAAACTATCATTCCTCCGGAAAACCTCAGAGGAAGACTTAAAAAAGTAATTGATAATGGATCCTTTTCATTGTATAAATTCTTTGACATGATGATATTACTAGTATACTATGGCAAATGTGTACGTTGATATATGAATGGTTCAAATTCAAGAAGGCAGTGTGAATTTGCTCTTATATCAAGTATAATTTTTAGTCAGTATATTGATTGTCATACGTACCAACTGAAAATAACTTAATAATCTTTAACAGTTTAATCATAGTCCAATTGAAAAATTTAATTTGACAATGTTAATGTTTTACTTTTAATATTTCAGTACCATATACTATTACAACAGAAACTGACCATTCAGCTAATGAAAAGAGTGAAGGTATTTGTATATCTCTTTGTATTGAAAATGAACGAGTTTTCTTTTCCAATACAGATACAAAGTTACTATTAAAAGAGAGCTTCATTGAAAATAAGATTTCTTTTATTTAACTATAAGAAGACTTTTGTAATATCTGTTAATCTTAAATTCTCTAAAAGTTAATTCATAACTCTGTCAGTGTATTGATTTATATTTACTTGTTACTGTCTATATAACGAATAATTCACATAACATTCATGTGATATTGTTTGTTTTAGTAACTGATTGAACCTCAAGTTTCGTCATGTAGAATGATATTGTATTTGTCATTTCAAACATGATACAAAACATTACATGTAAAAATATCAATGTATTAACTTAGCATTATAAGATTTAATATAAAAAGAGCTTATGATGTAAGCTTTTGGTGTATAAAAATAATTACAACTGCATGGGAAAATGTAATTAATTTTAAATTAAATGTAGTCACTAAAACCATGCTTTAGATTTATTTTCTTTTTATAAAAAAAAACAATAATTATTACAATTTGAATCAATATGAATAATTAATAATATTTATGGCATGTTTAATTCACAGTTAACAAAATCTGACATTCGTATTTTTGTCTTCATACACCGACTTCAGGTTTGTTTTCAATTTTCCGCAATTACATTAATTTCTAAATGGACATAATTATTTTTCTGTTGATAAAGATATTGTTCTGTTTCACAGAAAAAGGAAAGTCCATTTCATTTGTGTCTTCAAAATACCGGTTAATCTCAGAAAACGAAAACGAAAAGGAAATGAAATGGACTCGTCTTGTTGCAAAATTCTTTGACATGTATAATGATATGATTTATATACTATGAACAAACGTTTTCGTTGATATCTGATTGGTTCTAATTCTATAAGGTAGTGTGAATATTCTCTTGTATCGAATATAATTTGTAGTCAGTATATTGATTGTCATACGTACAACTCTGTGAATAACTTAACCGTCTATAACAGTTTGATCAGTAGTCCAATTGAGAAATGTAGTCTGATAATGTAAATGTTTAACATTTAATATTTCAGTGCCATATTCTATCACAACAGAAACTGACCTATTTAGGCATTCAGTTGACGAAAAGAGTGAAGGTATTTTACATATTTTTGTACTTGAAATTAGCGTGGTGTACACCTTACACATACTCATTTCTTTTCTACAAGAGTTTCTAAGTAACTATTAAAAGAGGATATGATTGAACTTTTTCAATCTTTCAAGTTAATTCATACTTCTGTTAGTGCATTTTTTTATGTTTACTTGTTACTGTCTATATTACTAATAATTCATATAACATTCATTTGATATTGTTTGTTTAAATGACTCACTGAACCTCAAGTTTCATCATTAAGGACGATATTGTATTTGTCATTTGAAACATTATTCAAAACATTACGCATACAGTTCTAATATCAATATATTAACTTAACCTAATAGGATTTAATATAAAAAGAGCTGGTGATGTGGGCTTTTGGTGTCTACTTTTTCGTGTAAAATTAATTCTGTTTGGGAGAGTATAAATCTTTCAATTAAAATGGTGTCAAGGAAAACATGCTTCAGATTAATTTTCTTTGTTATGGCTTGTTTAATCACAGTTAACAATATCTGGCATTCTTATTTTTGTTTACATACACCGACTTCAGGTTTGTTTTCAATTTTCTGCAATTACATTAATTTCGTAATGGACATATTATTTTTCTGTTGATATAGATATTGTTCTATTTCATTGACAACAAAAAATTTGTAATTTCTTGTATCTTCATAATACCTGTTAATCTCATCAAACAAAAAGGAAATATAATAGACTATTCTCGTAGCTTAAATTCTTTGAGAGGATGATATGACTTGTATACTATGAACAAATGTTTACGTTGATATATAATTGGTTCTAATTCAAAAAGGCACTGTGAATGTTCTCTTGTATCGAGCATAACTTGTAATCAGTATATTGATTGTCATACGTACAACTCTGAGAAAACTTAAAATCGTCTATAACAGTTTGATCAGTAGTCCAATTGAAAAATGTAGTTTGACAATTTAAATGTAAATGTTTATCATTTAATATTTCAGTGCCATATACTATTACAACAGAAACTAACCTATTTACGCATTCAGTTGACGAAAAGAGTGAAGGTATTTTACATATCTTTTGTATTGGAAATTAGCGTGTTGTACACCTTACACATAATTATTTCTTTTCCATAAGAGTTTCAAAGTACAAAATGTAACTATTAAAAGAGGACTGCATTGCAGAATAAGTTTCTTTCAACTGCTTTTAATTATTCTAAGAAGACCATTGAAATATCTGGCAAAAATATTATTTCTGTTAATTATAATGATATTATTGAACGTTTTTCAATTCTTAAAGTTAATGCATACTTCTGTTAGTGCATTGTTTTGTGTTTACTTGTTACTGTCTATATTACTAATTATTAATATAACATTCACTTTATATTGCTTGTTTTAGTGACTCACTGAACCTCTAATTTCATCATAAAGGATGATATTGTATTTGTCATTTGAAACATTATATAAAACATTACGCATACAGTTCACATATCAATGTATTAACTTAACCTAATAAGATTTAATAAAGTAAGGGCTTGTGATGTTAGCTTTTTGTGTCTACTTTTTTGTATAAAAATAATCACAACTGTTTGGGAAAGTGTAAATTTTTCAATTAAGTGTAGTCAATGAAAAAATGATTCAGATTTATTTTCTTTGTTACAAAATAGTTATTTCAATTTGAATTAAAATAGATAGTTAATAATTTTTATGGCATGTTTAATCACAGTTAACAATATCTGCATTCTTATTTTTGTCTACATACACCGACTTCAGGTTTGTTTTCAATTTTCTGCAATTACATTAATTTCTTAATGGACATATTATTTTTCTGTTAATATACATATTGTGCTGTTTCAGAAACAAAAAGAAAGTTTGTCATCTCTTATGTCTTCATAAAACCTGTTAATCTCAGAAAACTAAAAACAAGAAATGAAATAGACTGTTCTCGTTGCTTAAATTCTTTGAGAGAATGATATGACTTGTATACTATGAACAAATGTTTGATTGATATATGTTTGGTTCTCATTCAAGAAGGCACTGTGAATGTTATCTTGTACCGAGCATAGTTTGTAATCAGTATATTGATTGTCATACGTACAACTTTGTGAATAATTTAATCGTCTATAGCAGTTTGATCAGTAGTCCAATTGAGAAATGTAGTTTGACAATGTAAATGTTTAACATTTAATATTTCAGTGCCATATACTATTACAACAGAAACTGATCTTTTTACGCATCCAGTTGACGAAAAGAGTGAAGGTATTTTACATATCTTTGTACTTGAAATTAGCGTGTTGTACACCTTACACATAATCATTTCTTTTCTACAAGAGTTTCTAAGTAACTATTAAAAGCGGATACGATTGAACTTTTTTCAATTCTTAAAGTTAATTCATAACTTTGTTAGTGCATTGTTTTGTGTTTACTTGTTACTGTCTATATAACTAATAATTCATATAACATTCATTTTATATTGTTTGTTTTAGTGACTTACTGAACCTCAAGTTTCATCATAAAGGAAGATATTGTATTTGTCATTTGAAACATTATTGAAAACATTACGCATACAGGTCAACTATCAATATATTAACTTAACCTAATAAGATTTAATAAAATAAGAGCTGTTTATGTTGGCTTATGGTGTCTTCTTTTTCTTATAAAATTAATTACAACTGTTTTGGAAAGTGTGAATTTTTCAATTGAAATAAAGTCAATGAAAACATGCTTCAGATTGATTTTCTTTGTTATGGCTTGTTTAATCACAGTTAATAATATCTGGCATTCTTATTTTTGTCAACATTCCCCGACTTCAGGTTTGTTTTCAATTTTGTGCAATTACCATAATTTCTTAATGAACATATTATTCTTCTGTTAATATAGATATTGTTCTGTTTCAAAGAAAAAAATAAAGTTTGTCATTTCTTGTGTCTTCATCATACCTGGTAATTTCATAAAACAAAAAGAAATGTAATAGACTATTCTCGTTGCTTAAATTCTTTGAGAGAATGATATGACTTGTATACTATGAACAAATGTTTGATTGATTTATGTTTGGTTCTCATTCAAGAAGGCACTGTGAATGTTATCTTTTACCGAGCATAATTTGTAATCAGTATATTGATTGTCATACGTACAACTTTGTGAATAATTTAATCGTCTATAGCAGTTTGATCAGTAGTCCAATTGAAAAATGTAGTTTGACAATGTAAATGTTTAACATTTAATATTTCAGTGCCATATACTATTACAACAGAAACTGACCTATTTACGCATTCAGTTGACGAAAAGAGTGAAGGTATTTCACATATCTTTTGTATTGGAAATTAGGCTGTTGTACACCTTACACATAATTATTTCTTTTCCATAAGAGTTTCAAAGTAACTATTAAAAGAGGACTGCATTGAAGAATAAGTTTCTTTGAACTGCTTGTAGTTTTTCTAAGAAGACCATTGAAATATCTGGCAAAAATATTATTTCTGTTAATTATAATGATATTATTGAATTTTTTTCAATTCTTAAAGTTAATTCATACTTCTGTTAGTGCATTGTTTTATGTTTACTTGTTACTGTCTATATAACTAATAATTCATATAACATTCATTTGATATTGTTTGTTTTAATGACTCACTGAACCTCAAGTTTCATCATAAAGGACGTTTTGTGTTTGTCATTTGAAACATTATTCAAAACATTACGCATACAGTTCTAATATCAATATATTAACTTAACCTAATAAGATTTAATATAATAAGAGCTGGTGATGTTAGCTTTTGTGTCTACATTTTCGTGTAAAATTAATAACAACAGTTTGGGAACGTGTAAATTTTTCAACTAAAAAGAAGTCAATGAAAACATGCGTCAGATTAATTTTCTTTGTTATGGCCTGTTTAATCACAGTTAACAATATCTGGCATTCTTATTTTTGTCTACATACACCGACTTCAGGTTGATTTTCAGTTTTCTGCAATTACATTAATTTCTTAATGGACATATTAATTTTCTTTTACTATAGATATTGTGCTGTTTCAAAGACAAAGAGAAAGTTTGTCATTTCTTGTGTCTTCATAATACCTGTTAATCTCTGAAAACAAAAAGGAAATATAATAGACTTTACTCGTTGCTTAAATTCTTTGAGATGATGATATGACTTGTATACTATGAACAAATGCGTACATTGATCTATGATTGGTTCTAATTCAAGAAGGCACTGTGAATGTTCTCTTGTTTCGAGCATAATTTGTAATCAGTATATATATATTGTCATACGAACAACTCTGTGAAAAACTTAATCGTCTATAACAGTTTGATCAGAATTCCAATTAAAAAATATAGTTTGACAAAATAAATGTTTAACATTTCATATTTCAGTGCCATATACTACTACAACAGAAACTGACCTATTTACGCATTCAGTTGACGAAAAAAGTGAAGGTAATTTACATATCTTTGTGCTTGAAATTAGCGTGTTGTACACCTTACGCATAAACATTTCTTTTCTAAAAGAGTTTGTAAGTAACTATTGAAAGAGGATACGATTGATCTTTATTTTAATTCCTTAAATTTTACTATAGATATTGTGCTGTTTCAAAGACAAAAAGAAAGTTTGTCATCTCTTGTGTCTTCATAATACCTGTTAATCCTAGAAAAAAAAAAGAAAAAAAAAGAAATGTAATAGACTATTCTTGTTACTTAAATTCTTTGAGAGAATGATATAACTTGTATACTATGAACAAAGGTTTACGTTGATATATGAATGGTTCTAATCCTAGAAGGCACTGCGAATGTTCTCTTGTATCGAGCATAATTTGTAATCAGCATATTTTTTGTCATACGTACAACTCTGTGAAAAACTTAATCGTCTATAACAGTTTGATCAGTAGTTCAATGGAGAAATGTAGTCTGACACTATAAATGTTTAACATTTGATATTTCAGTACCATATACTATTACAACAGAAACTGACCTATTGACGCATTCAGTTGATAAAAAGAGTGAAGGTATTTTACATATCTTTGTGCTTGAAGTTAGCGTGTTGTACACTTTACACATAATTATTTATTTTCTACAAGAGTTTCTAAGTAACTATTAAAAGAGGATACGATTGAACTTTTTTATATTCTTAAAAATAATTCATTACTCTGTTAATGTATTGTTTTGTGTTTACTTGCTACTGTCTATTTATTGTTTGTTTTAGTAACTAACTGAACCTCTAGTTTCATCATATAGGATGATATTGTGTATTTGCCATTTGAAACATGATACAAAATATTACATGTATAGTTCAAATATCAATATATTAACTTAATCTAATAAGATTTAATATAGTTAGAGCTAGTGATGTAAGCTCTGGTGTCTTTAACTTACTAAAATAATCACTGCTTGGGAAAGTTTAGATTTTTTAGTTAAATGTAGTCACTAAAAACATACTTTAGATTTTCTTCTTTTTTTTTTTTTTATCACAAAACAATAATTATTACAATTTGAATCAATATAAATAATTGATAATATTTATTGCATGTTTAACCACAGTTAACAAAATCTGACAATCTTATTTTTGTCTGCATACACCGACTTCAGGTTTTATTCAATTTATTGCAATTACATTAATTTCTAAATGGACATAATTATTGTTCTATTAATATAGATTTTGTTCTGTTTAAAATAAAGAAAGTGTGTCATTTATTTGTGTGATCAGAAAACAAAAAGGACACACTAATGGTATAAATCTACATTAGTAAACGATAAAATCATAGGAAATTACTACTTCTATTTCAGAATTCACAATCTATATAAATAAGAAGATGTGGTATGAGTGCCAATGAGACAACTATCCATCCAAGTCACAATGTGTAAAAAGTAAACAATTATTGGTCAAAGTACGGCCGTCAACACGGAGCCTTGGCTCACACCGAACAGCAAGCTGTAAAGGGCTCCAAAAAGACTAGTGTAAAGCAATTCAAACAGGAAAACCGACGGTCTAATCTATATAAAAAACGAGAAACGAGAAACACTTATTAACCACACCAACAAACGACCACCACTGAACAACAGGCTCTTGACTTAGGACAGGTGCAAAAAATGCAGCGGCTTTAAACGTTTCAACAGGCACCAATTTTCTAGTATTTATCAATTTGAAATATTAAAGTTCCAATAATTACTTTTGGTTTATGTGTTTTATTTGTTGTTTAATGTTTTTTACAGACACAGTTTTTGTTACATCTGTTATCGCCTCTGTAGTAACCATCGCGTGCATTGCCTTGGTACTCGGTATCATACTGATATACAGAAAATACTTCAGGTACTATATTATAGTTCTACTTCAATTTTATTAAATGATGGATGAAATAGAAAGAGATTTAACAGAAGAAAAGTGTGAATTGACTATCAAATGTATGAAATTATTAAACAAACAGTTTCCAGGTATATGTACTCAATATAAATATAGATTTATGAAAATTTTGGCCGCTTTCAGTGCAACACACGTGTTTCCGGTTTCACTTTTGTCAGGTTTATTCGAGAGAAAGGGCTCTTTTCAAAAACAAAATTGTAATAGTTCCAAACCAGATTGACAGACAATCTTTAGGTAAAGGGAATCCGATCCAGTAATATTAATATTAAAGCATGCTGTATATTTCAGTGGACATGGCACTTGTTGCTGGAATATCAATTTTGAGATATTACTTTGTTAAGGAAAAAAATCGTAGAAGCCAAGTACAGTTCTTAAGGATAATAGCGTTAAGTTTTTGTAAAAAAGCATAATTTATAAACTGCAAAATTAAACACATGATATTAATTTATTTTGATTTTTTAAAGCACCAGTAAAAGGGCGAACGGTACTCATCTTTGGACTGACAATCCACATCAGCTACACTACTAAGTGGCAGTAAATTAAACGTAACTAACAGAAATGATCGTATGCCATATTTTAATGTTTTTCGTTGTTTGGAGAATTATTTCTGTTACTTTAATATACATCTTGTGTAGACTCGAGACGATTTAAAGCTAATATTTTTTAAACACCTGTCTTGTCTTTTCTTTCTGTCTTTGTGTTGCTGTTGCACTGACATATACCCCACCTCCCTATATTTGAATGTATTATACCGATTTCAGCGCGCAAACCATATCTGTTTGAAAGTGAATAGAATTATAATCAATTTTCCACAAACAATACTAAATGGATAATAGAATAGGTCAACATAGTTCTTAAATAACGTTTAAGTGTTCAAGATATTTGATTTAGAAAAAATATCGATTAAGATTCATCATTATTTATTTGTATTGCATTCTTTTGTTTTAGGAAACCATCACGGATTGAAAGTAGGGTGTCAATTAGAAGTATAGCTAGTCGTAGTAAGGGCCGTCCTAGTCTAAATAACGCTGATGGTTCAGACCAACTGTATACTAATTGACTAGATGATATGAGGTACATATGTCCGCCTACAAAGTGCAGTTTATCAGTTAAACAGCATTGAACAAATGAAAAGAGAAAGCTATAGAACATTTTTCTAATTTCATGTGATTTTTTATTTTTTATTTTTATCTATTCAATTTAACTTTATGTTTTGAAAGCGTAAAATTTTATTGTTGTAATATCTAGAATTATTGTGTGAGAGAGAGAGAGAGAGAGAGAGAGAGAGAGAGAGAGAGAGAATGATTATGTGTCATTTATTTGTGATATTATTTGATTATAAAATGGCAACAAGACATATTAGAATGATTTATTGTTGACTGACGATTTCGGTCATTTTGACTTATTTATCTATTATATAGTTTTTAATGCAATAGCCTTAATCGAAAAAAAGGGTAAAAATTTTTATTTGAGGGCACTTACTCCGACATGTATAAGGTGTCAGACCACCAATTCACTCACTCTTATTTAGGATGTATGTAGAAGTAGGTTTTTCTGTCAAAAAGTAGTGCTTTTGATGTCATTGTTTACTGGAACTAACAAACAAATTTGCAGAAATGAAACCTTTGGGGAAAAAGAAATATATTTGGACCATTTTGAGCCAAAATTTAGTTGGTCTGTGAGGTTGCAGTCTTTTAATTGACTGCTCCATAGGCTAACATGCTAAACAGCTGATCTTTGAAATTAAAACAAAAAAAAAATGCTACATAGAAAAAATGTTCATGTTCATATCATATATGTACTAATTTGAAATTGTGATTTAATCGAAAAAAAAGTGGGTCATGCCACGAAGAATAAAAAGTTATGTAACCCTGAAGTCAAAACTATTTTTTTCTACTTTCTGTTTGCTAGGTCGCACCACTTCCAGTAAACATGATATCCTTCTACTTTCCTGGATTGATATCCCCAAAAAGATGCAAGATTTTTTAAAATCTATACATATGTTTCAACTCAGTATAAACTTTTAATCAAACAGAAAAATTGAGTCCAGAAAAAAATTCTGAAAAAAATGGACTATTTTATTTCCCTCCATGTTTTGACATGCACCGGAAACTGGAGTTGTAAACAAGACTGGTACCATGAGCCTGCATTGAAAATGGAGGATTAATGCGCTCCATAGTATACTTATTTAAGATTTCCTGAAAACCAGAGGTTATTTTTAGTAGTACTTGGATTCCAAACGGTCATTCTTAATTACAAGACGTAAAACATTGGTTGAAAATTGGCATGTAGAAAGGTGATACATGTACCATTCAGGATATGCCTGGTTTCTGTGACGTTAAACTTAAGGTAAAATATTTAGAAAGTTGTGGAAATTGAATACATTGATTGAATAGATAGGGATTTGAATGGTGGTCTGACACCTTTAAAGCGAAAAGCGGTTAATCACAAAAATCAGAAAACAATTGATTTTTTTTTCTTAACTGATCATTTGAAATAGAGGTAGCCACATAACAACATTTTTTGGGCCAAAAAGTCACATATTGCTAGATTAGAGCCTTAAACCTGAATTTGTGCTATTTTTATCTTTTTCCACCCATACAATATGCATGCATATAAAAAAGTGTCTGAATTTGTTATCAATGCACAGTAAGTTGTTTTTGTGATATTGAACAGTTAAATATAGGTTGTTAACTACCAACAAATTGTCTTTATGAAGATTTCATGAATTGTTTTGATTTTTACTTACTATATTACTGCGTCATTCCATGTATTTGGCAGATAGTATAGCCTGATGTAAAAACTATAAATTCACTCCAACCCAATAACGTGTTTTAGATAAAAGTTTTCTACCTTAAATATTATTAACTTATAGTAAATGAAAAATGTTTCCTGACCATAACTGTATTTTTGATCAATTAATGGCCCATTTCTGATAACTGATAAAAAGGGGGAGGGGTATTCCTTAACACTACATTACCTTTGATTTTTTACTAAACTCCAAAGTTGTAAAGAGCCTTTAAAGCAGTAGGGCAAACAAGAAAATATCAACCGTAATTGATCTTAATATTAAAAGTTTATATTCCTGTAGTCAGAATTTGAATTTCAATTATTTTCTATTAAAATCATACATTACAGTCAGTTTAAATAGAGCTGTGAATTTTACAATATTAGTCGAATTATGATATATATGGTTGTTAACTACACATTAACCAAGGATTAAAATTAAAGCAAAACAAAAGACTTCTGATAACCTTTTATGTCTCTTTATGTGTCAGACTACCAATTCACTCACTCCAATTTAGAATGTATGTAATAGTAGCCCTTCTCTGACAAAAATAGTACTTTTGATGTCATTGTTTACTAAAACTAACAAACAAGTTTGCAGAAATGAAACTTTGGTGAAAGAAAAATATATTAAGAACATTTTGAGCAAACATTTACTTGTCTATGAGCTTGCATTAAAAATTGAGGATTAATGCGCTCCATAGTATACTTATTTAAGAATTCCAGAAAACCAGGGGTTATTTTTAGTAGCACTTGGATTCCGAACGGTCATTCTTTATTACAAGACTTAAAACATTGGTTGAAAATTGGCAGGAATCTGATGTTCAGTAGTTGTCGTTTGTTGATGTGGTTCATAAGTGTTTCTCGTTTCTCGTTTTTTATATAGATTAGACCGTTTGTTTTCCAGTTTGAATGGTTTTACACTAGTAATTTCTGGGGCCCTTTATAGCTTACTGTTCGGTGTGAGCCAAGTCTCCGTGTTGAAGATCGTACTTTGACCTACAATGGTTTAATTTTATAAATTTTGACTTGGATGGAGAGTTGTCTCATTGGCACTCATACCACATCTTCTTATATCTATGTAGAAAGGTGATACATGTACCATTCAGGATATGCCTGGTTTCTATGAAGTTAAACTTAAAGTAAAATATTTAGAAAGCTTTGGAAATTGAAAAATTGGTTGAATAGATAGGAATTTTGAATTGGTGGTCTAACACTTTTAAAGCGAAAAGCGGTTAATCACAAAAATCAGAAAACAATTGATTTATTTTTCTTAACTGATCATTTGAAATGGAGGTAGCCACATTTCAACATTTTTTGGCCAAAAATTCACATATTGCCTCTTGACAACTCGGCGGTACATCGTTCTATATAAAGATTTTTTTAAAGTTTAGGATAGCCACTATAAATACCAGATATTTTCATCGTCCTTTGTTTTAATACAAAAGAAGACAGATTTATGATTTCCTAAAATCTCCTCTTTCGTGAATGATGTAGGATTCCAAGTTTGCCATGAATTCCAATATCTTTATAAAAGAAATTCCAAATAATGATCTTTGCATATAATATAAATAAGAAGATGTGGTATGAGTGCCAATGAGAAAAACTATCCATCCAAGTCACAATGTGTAAAAAGTAAACAATTATAGGTCAAAGTACGGCCTTCAACACGGAGCCTTGGCTCACACCGAACAGCAAGCTATAAAGGGCCCCAAAATGACTAGTGTAAAACAATTCAAACAGGAAAACCTAACTAATCTATATATAAACCAATATGTTTTGAACTTTGTGAAACAACAACATATTTGTTGTAAGAGATAATAAAGCGTCCACGAACTCGGGCTTCGTGAAGAGCTCGAAACCCGTGTCCTAATTGTACACCGAATTTTCATGAATGTGCTTCTGATTGTAAGACCCAACAGGTTTGATCCATTTAGATAAAGTGTTCAGTTTTTTGTAAATATGGCCTTTTGGTCATAAAACTTAACCCAGTACTTGGAGTACAAATTGTTTGCTCGAAACCACAAATCCAGAATTTTTATTGTTTGGTTTCTGAGTCTGAGTAAGATAATAGTATGACTGTAAGACATTGTTGGTGTTTACCCATTTACTAGTCCTAAACTGCATCCATCAGTAACCCCGAAGTTCTTTCTTCTAGATGATTGGCTGGAAATCTCGATATATTGGGCCTTTGGCTAACAACTCTCTTGGTTGTTCAATGTTTATAATGCCGAGATTCAATCAAAACATGATCAGCGGGACTATATTTATATGGGGACGATGGACAAGATCAATCAGGAGTAATGAGTTTTACATCATTGAGGGTAAAGGCTGTGATAGCCTCTTATAGCTTAATACATGTCTTAATATTTAAATGGTACTATAGAACATGTATTTTACTAAATGATTTCAGCATGACCTGGTCTTGAAAGCGTCAATTTATAAATGGGGGCACGCTCTTTCATTTGAATAATGGGTTTGCCCCCAACCTTTGCTATACTTTGTCATTTATTCAATTGATATGCTTATAGTTGATGTAATTTCATATTTTTCAATTCTTAATTGTAATTTTAACTTATCAATTATTAACTTTTCTGTCAAATAATTTATTTGCACAAATGTATTTTTTATATTTTATGATTTTGAATAAATAACCTTTTCTCGTCAATCTTGATTTTATATCATATAGCAAAACAAGCTCGGAATATTGTTTGTTGTATATATATAACATTAAAAAAGGAAGATGTGGTATGATTGCCAATGAGACAACTCTCCACAAAAGACCAAATGACACAGAAATTAACAACTAAAGGTCACCGTACGGCCTTCAACAATGAGCACAGCCCATACCGCATAGTCAGTTATAAAAAGGCCCATAATTATGATATACGTATGTCTGAAGTAACTAATTGAAATAGGGGACACATTAAATTTATTGAATTCTGTAGAAACTTGTCGTTTTTGCATTGCATTAAAAAATATCCAAATACATGAAAAATTGTCAAATGGTCAATGGTACATACAATATACGAGGACCAACTCATTTCAAATACATATAATTGATTGAAATGACTCATAATTATATACAATTCTTTATAAAAAAAAATAACCACAAATAAGCCCGCATCACAGTGTTGCTTTATTAAGTGATCATTGCGGTATAAGTATCCCACGAATTCACTTTCATGCCATGGTTTCCGACAATTAGTCATATATATTGTAACTACGATTAAATGCACTATCCTTTCCATTAATGGACTGTATAATACTATCAAAAATAAAATTACTAAATGTTATTGAATTTAGGATTATGAATAATTAACATAATTTTATGTTTGAATGACATGAAATATCAATTCCGATGTTTTAATATATGAACATGCTTTATTCATAAGACCAATAACAAAACAGAAAAATGAGATGAAGTTGTCATAACGTCTATAAGGTTGGGTTTCAATAAATTTGAATTATTAAGTATTATTTTATTATTTCATATACACATAGTATTCCCCAATGAGAAAATTAAAAGAAGAACGACACATTAATGCCAAATTGATATTGTAAGGCGTGAAAGATATATAAATTCAAATATTTCCATAGTGATGATAGTTGCAAAACGAAATACGAACAATATTTGAAATGAAGTCGAAGATGAAAGTTGTTTTAGTTGTATTGATTTTTTCCTTTATCACACAAGGTAAGTTCAAAAATGTATATTTATAGGGACTCTTTCTAAGTTTTTAATCAGAGATATGGTTTATTTATTACCGGTACGGTACTTTGTTTTAATAAACATATTATCATTCTTTAAAACAAGTTTTTTTGTTTTTAACATATATTGTTCTATTGCTTTTGTTTTGTTTGTATGGTGTTTTTTTTTTTATCGGGGATGAGGTTACCGTCAATAGGCAAGACGTAGTTATTTACCTTTTTTCTAACATTCAAGCACTTTATTGATATTCAAAGATTTAGAGAAAAGGGTTTCCAAGAAGTATGAGCATGTTTACTCGACAAGGTAAACAGGGGAGCGGTATGACAGAGAAACGGCCGGTTGTCAAGAAAGTATGTGCGTGCTTATTCAAGAAAGTCTCCGAAGAAGCGATAGAATAGTTCAAGGAATTGATCGATTTAAAGTACCCTGAATATCAAAAGAAATTTTCCGGCTATTGTTTCATCACGTACCAAAAGGCCCCTTTTTATAGCATTATGAGGTTTCATACAATTATTGACGTACATTTTGAACGTATTGTAAAATAATATCGCAGAACTAAAATTATTGACATGTTGCAAAAAGGGGAATTTACCAAGAGAGCAATTAAAAACCTGAATTAAAGGACGGATAGACATAAATTAAGGTTATTACCCCTTTTCTAAAGCTGTGCATTCTGAAATTTCAAATGCAATAAAATAAAAAAAGCTAAGAAAATTAGAAAATTAATAAAATTATACACGCCATTTTGTACGTGGAAACATCATTCACAACTATGACAATATTTTTTGTTTCATTGTATTTAATGGGAAACGTTTTTTTTTTTTTTTGTGGCAACTCTGTTCAAGATTTACAGAAACCAACAGACTTTGTTATCGGGATTTTCTTTATATCATTTCAAACATAGATATACCACTTGTAGGTCCATCTTTTGCTACCGTTAATTATTCACGGAAATTGCTTAACTTACCTTCCGAATTAAAATAAATTGGTCAATATTTGTACTTATTTTTAATTACTGTGACTTGACTATAGGTGTTGTTGTTCACCTTTACCTATTGTTCAACCAGATTGTAAAATTGACAATACAATTGGAACATTTAAATTGACCAGCTGCCAGATTTAAATCTCACTGAACCAGTAAGAATTTACCTTGATGAATTTACCAATGAAAGGTCCATGAAGTGACTTCACCTGTTCAGTAG